CCCTGTAGGAGTGATAAATACCAGATTCGTCCATTATTAAAAGTAACACAAGCGTAAAAACTGCTTGGCAAAGGCTATCAGAACCAGACCACACTAAAGAGATGTCACTGCATGTTCTGATATATACCGATATCCTGCTTGTTCCACTTGCTCGACAGAATTATGATCCAGCTACATAGTTGGAGAAGTTTTTAGTTACTCTTTTCATGCAGGAAGGGGCATTGTTGTATTTAACGCTTGAGGGATAATCTTGATGTTGGAGCTGTTATAAGAAACAGGTCAATCACAGGTCTGAATTTGTGTTTGGCACAAAGCTGGGCTAGACGCCTAACATTGACAACATCAGCCTGCCTTCTTGAACTTGGCTTAAACACTCACTCTACTGCCACCCCAACAATATTATTCCCACACACACATTCCAGTAAATATTTCTACAATTGCCAAGCCAAACACAGAAATGGGATTCAAGAGAAAAACACGACCCTCTTCCAGTATCAAGTTGGACAACCATAATCATCTGCAGAGAAGCCTGGTAATGGTCACTCTGAAAGATGTTCATACTGTAGGTCTGTCATGATGGCCTATTGTCTGAATAGCCATAGCTGTAGCAGACAAGAAGAATGTCTCAGTGTTACTAGTGGATGACCACATCCAGGTCTATTTTTGGTTCTCCTTGGGAGACAGTAGCCCTGATAGAGTTTACTGCTGTCTAGTGAATAAATATTCACTAATGACTTCGTCTTTTACTGTTCTTCAAAGCAAGATTCTAGTGTGCATTCATTCTCTTTTACTGTAACATTGATGCATTGTGATTAAAACCAGAAAATGCTGCCTTAGCACACGCAAGCTCACAAGCACACATTTTCTACTATGTAGTTCAGGGGGGTAGCTGCATCAGCATGCGTAGGCTCCAAAGGAACAAGTAATAGGTTTATTACATGCTGAAGAGAAAAGAAAGAAAACACAACGTTTCAGCCTTGGGGCCTTCTTCGGGTGTCAGGCCAAAACATTGTGTTTTCATTCTTATCTTTTCAGCATGGAATAAACCTATTACTTGTTCCTTTTCTACCATGTACAGTATGTTTTCACTTGTTTTGTCATAGCTTATTCAGGAGGTAATTAGTAGTGCAAAAGAGGAATATTAGGTGTGACATTTTTATAGGTTTAACAACCTTACATAATATGAGACTCAAACAAGCTCATCAGTTATCCCTGCATAATTAATAAGAGCAGTGAAAGTATGCATTGAGTTCCTACAGCATTTCAGCACATGTTTCACAACTGAATCAATAATGGTTAATCACAGAATTATTAATGGACTTTTTACCCTTTTTGACTATTTGCTTTCTGGGAGTAATTCTTCCAACAGCTGCATTAGTGCACTAACAAAATGGATCTACTGTAATTTGGCAAGCTGTCTGAATATCCTCTGTAATGACTACCATGGAGAGTTTTAAAAATTCCAATACAGTTACTCTAAATCTAAGTGAGAATATATAACAGATGGATAAAAGGCAAAATGCAAATTAAAAACAGTAATTTCAGTTAGTAACATTGAAGGTTTTAACCTGAGAAATAATATTTTATTCTTTTTGAAATTATTCCCTAAACCCAAACACTATACAGATTCCTTTTAACAACAATAGGAGAAGAAGCTGAGCACTGCCATGAATGTATAGGCAAAATCAACATAAAATAGTATTTTTTCTTGTTTTATTTTTTAAAATATAAGGTCTATTATATATAGTATACCAAGTGTGGACCAAGTGACACAGACATGCTGACGAAGCATGTTTCTTTTAAGAAACAGCTGGATAAGATCTTAGGTTCAATTAGTTCAATTAACTAACGGGCTAGATCTGCCAAATGGTGTGCTCTCATTTGTAAGCCTTCTTAGGTTGTTATGTTAAATAACCCTTAATTACATTAATGACCCTTAGCCACAGTGTGTTACAAAAGTATTTAGACCCCTTGCACAGTTTTCACATTATACTGCTTTAAAGATTGAAGTCATGACGCCTTGATGTGGCGATTAATATATAACCTCCCTCACAAATTCAAAGCAAATCAAGTAAAACAAGTAAATAATATTAAATTAGGAAAAGTAATTGATTGCATAAGTATTCAAACACTTTACTGTGGCAAACCTGAATTCATGGTGCACAAAATTAGTTGAACAAGCCACATATTTATTTGAGTGGCATCTGCCTGTGTGCAGGAATAGTTGTTCAGATGATTTCATAACAACTGCTCCTGTGCCTGTAAGGTCCCTTACTCAGGAAATGAATTTCAAGCAAGGATTCAACCATGAAGACCGAAGAGCTTTCAAAACAACTCAGGGATAAAGATATACAAAGGCACAGTTCCAGAGAGTGGTATAAAAATATTTCAGAACCTTAATATCTCTTTGAGCATGGTGTAGTCAATCATTAAGAAGTGGGAAATACCCAAACACTATCTAAATAGATACAAACCACAGAGGGGGCTTGTTTGGTACTTGAAAAAAGCATCTCAAATCCTGCAAGGGGTTTGCAACAAAGGACCTAAATGATACTGCAAAACATGTGGCATAAGGTTTTGTGGTCAGCCAAGAATAACTGGAACTTTCTGAACAATGAAAAGTGTTAGATCTGAAGTAAACCCAACAAAATGCAGCACTCAGTCAACTGAGAAGCTTGTTGAGACTGATGGGAACATACTGTAGGTGGAGCAAAGTACTGGCTAATCCTAAACGAAGACCTGCTTCAGAGCTAAAACTAACACAAATTCAGCTTTAAACAGAATAATGCCAAACCAAAACCACACTGGTGTTGCTTAAGAATATGTGAATGTCCTTAAGTGGCCAAATTGAAGTCTGGACTTGAATCCTATTGAAAATATATGAAAAGACTTGAAGACTGCTATCCATAAGCAAATCCGTCAACAAACAGTGCACCAAGCCAGTATGCAAAGTTAGTAGAGCATTATCCCAATAGGACTTTTGGCTGTAATAGGTGCCAAAGGTGCTTCTGCAAGATAATAATTATTCGTGGGTATGATTACTTATGCAATCAACACATTTCTTTTTTTGTTTAATTTTGCTGCATTTAGTTAGGATTTGCTGTAACTTGTCTTATCCTTAGAAGTCTCCAGTTTGAGCTTGTAGATTTTGAATAAAACATTCAAAGTGTACGTGTGAACTTAAACTTGTCAGACAGTGCGAGACAAAACACAAAACATGATTTCTCACCTCTGGATTGCACATTCTGCAAAATAAATCACTTTAGTCCTTTAGTTCCTTTCCTTTTGTACAGTAAGCAGCAATACAGCACAAGCAAATGTCTATATCTGACAGTTTTAAAGTAAAATGAGATTAAAAGAATTACCTTGTAGAGGATTCAGTTTAATCCTGTAAGACGTAGCTGATCTGTGAGGCGTCCACTTGATGCAGAAAGTGTCGAAACCAACCTGGTACGTTGTCAGATCAGTGACGTTCAGATACACTACAACGAATGGCAGAGAACATTGGTGTCTTACCAACCATATGAAAAAAAGTTGATAATTAAACTTAGCTTTTTAAGGGGGACCAATTAAAAACCACAGAGAAAGTAAAATAAAAGTACAATGATTCTCTTGAGATATGGCTTTAAGTCAGTATCTGTCGTGACATATCATTTACAGCATAGCACAGTACATTGCTCTGTTGTTCCTCCAACATTCATTCTATTTAATAAAAACTATAGCATTTATTAAAATTCAAAAAGAGTATAACAAAGAAAAAAAATAGAAAACATAGAGGCATGTACGTGTTGTTCCTTGTCCGATCAGGGCTCCACTTGCTCCTCCATCGTACTGGGCGTAGACTTTGAGATCGTATGTGGTACCAGGGAGCAGGTTATGCAATGTGTAGGTAGTGACATCACCAACAAATACCTCCATCGTTTCATCCTGATCTGAAATTCAAGATGAGGCAAAACCATGGGTTTTAAACCAAGCAAAAGCACTCGCTTGGGTGATGCTGTGTGTTTCTCCAGTATTTAACCTTCTTTCCGTGATTCAATGTTTAAGGTAATTTTCTGAATACTTGCAATTGAGCATTTGGCTATCCTTTTAATGTTAAACAAGTTCACAAATTTTCACTTATTTTTATTTAACCATTCTAGTATTCCATTTCTTGACATGAAATACTCTACATGAAACTAACCCTTTAAAAATAAAAAGTTTAAACGTTTAGTGCAGTTCTGAAGGGCAGCGAAATATCTTTCTTTAAATTATGGTCACCTCTTACTGAGAGTTTACAAGTGGAGTTAACAGAACTGTTGCTTAGTGTCAATGTGTAATAAAATATAATCCCTTTGGAGCTCTGGAAACTAAGGGAGGAGGGGAGTTACTCTGGATGGGAAGGATGAATGGATTTGGAGAGGAGACGGGACAGATGTAACTACAGAGCTAGAAGGGAACTGGAGATTGGAGATTTCTTTGTATCTGTAACTCTACAATATTGTAAACTATTTCCTTTTTTGCTTTGTTGCAGGAATGTGCCTGTTTCCTCACCTGTGGGCTGGTAGACAAGCTTGTATCCCAACACGGGCAATGGAGCAGGGTCCCAGGACACACGGAACCGAGTGTACCACTCGTCCGAAACACGCAGGTTGCGAGGCTCCAGCAGGCCCACTGAGCGATTCAAAAACAGTCACACCGTCTCGATCAACAAAGCAGTTGTGGTCAATCGCAGCTGTATTTCAACACCTGGTTTTCTATCTTTACACCGACTTGCTGTGTTATGTGCATGTTTCAGTTTTTACTGTGGAAATGGAAACAGAGGGCCTACTTGGACAGGGCAGGAATAGCAGTGTGGCTTAAACCATTGAAGGACAGCCCATTTCGACCTTCTTGCACAGACACCTTATTGAAAACTTACTAAGCAGCTAAAACAGGAAGACGCTGTTTTAATTCTTAATTTTTTAAAATTCCACAACCCTGAACTCATGGCTGATAAGCCTAGTGAAAGTACATATAGCATTCTACACCTAGCTCTATGGGACATTTAATTATTCAGTTGCTACTCTGAAGGATAATAAATAGTTCCAGAATGACAACACTATCCACTGAAGCCGTATTACCTGTCCTTCCGTTTCCAGTCAGTTCGCCACCAGGTCCATCAGCATACACAGCCACCACATTAATCCTGTATGGAGTGTCAGACTGAAGGTTCTGTAGGACGACATTATTTCTTCTTCCAGGAACAACAGTCTGCAGGAAGCAAAATGGGATTCAAGAGCATGAGCGAGCTCATCAGCTTCAATAACACATATTCAGTTAGGTTTTCTCAATCAGTCTGCACTAAGAAAACACTCCACTTCACATATCACAAGACACATTCACAGCACGCCTTCAGTTCCAAATTTGCCAAGATTTTGCCACAGTTTTATTCATTGGCAATCGCTGTTTTCTCTCTTTAATTCACAGGCATTGGTCAACGAGGATGGAATTCACTAATGCACACACGAAGGTCACTAACGTTTTTTCTAAACACCATAGAACATTTTCACTGAACAAATCTTGTCTGCGGCCCAAGTTAATGTTGTAAACATCCAATAACTTATGCGACTGCTTAATGTCTCCATATTCAGTCATGCGTTTTATCTGCTGTGCACACTGAAGTGCGTTATTTATTCAAGTCAAAACTAGAAAAAAAGCTAAGTGAAAAGTTAGAAAAAGATCTGAAAACATAGCTACGCCAAAAACTGGCTTCCTTTCCTAAACAAATACTTATTTCAACCAAAAGATGTCCCCCTACTTCATTAATTTGAAGGTGATGGTATAATGCAACCCTATTATCAAAGGACTGCTTACAAATTCTTCAATGGGATCTCCGGTAGTGGGAGCATAGGAAATCCTGTACTGCTGTACCGGTCCCTCTGCATGATCCCAGCTGACACTGAGGGTGTCTGTAGTTGCCCCAAAGACACGCAGGTTTCTTGGTCCACTGCGAGGCACTAAAAATAATGGCACAGGAAAAGGAAAATCAAACTGACCGTACTAAAGGTCTGAAATGTAGAAATCCAATACTGAATGTGCTGGACACACCACATAACCAAAGCCTCCAAAATCCGTATCACTTCATTCATACTGATGTTTCGGTATCTCGGGCAAGCTCATTTGAAGTGCAATTTATAACACTTGCATAAAAAACAAGTTGGAGAAGAAGGGATGGAAAAAAGAAGACTTTTGGTATTTCATTAATAACAGGAAAAAATTACTCCCCCACAATCTGAAATCTGAAAGAAATGTCCTATAAACATTCCTGCGCAGCCATACAATAAACGTGCAATAAAAGCAGAATTCCTTACGTGTTGTGCCCTGTCCTGTTACTTGAGATCCTTCTCCATCAGCATAGAGGGCCAAGACACTAACAGAATAAGGAGTGTCCGGTATAAGCTGTTCAATGACTGCATTGTTGGTGTTTCCTGGCACAAGAACCTAGGCAATACAATTTCATGGCTTGAGTTATTAAAAAAAAAACAATGTCCTAAAATTATAATTCCCTATTCGATGGTTTGGTTTTTGCGAGACGGGTAAAATGAGTTTGAAAAATTGTTCCCATGACCACGAAAAGACATCTGGCCAAGTACTGTAATTTTCTTAACGCCCGGAGAGTCGTTGCCATGGTAACTGATTCATGAAAGGTGCTACCTGGAGGTATACCAGTTCTCATTTTTTGTTAATCTTCTTTTGAGTAAACTATTACTTTATTAAAACGTTTTTTAATGAGATTCCATATTAAGAGAAAAATACAAATGTCCCAATGTTTCCAATATTTTTTATGTATATCTAACATTTGGACATTTTCTGGATTTTATTTTAATTAGAATGACATTATAAAAGCACATGGCATTTAGAGTTTATGGTTGGTTAATTAATTTAATTAATACTCATAGCTTGCATGATTGTATGCCTTAGAGTATACCCACCCAGTTTGGGTCTGTAATTTTGTGTTTTCTCTAATGAAGAGCTCTTTCCAAAAATAAGAGAAAACCAACAAATATTTCTCATTCATTTTTTTCACAGAATTATAAGGCATCTTATTCTGTGCCATATCTTTAATGATTGCTGTTGATGTAAAGTTTAAACTATAAAATATATTATATAAAGAATGAAATGTAATAACATTAAACTGCCTGCTCTTTGCCTGCTCTAAAAATTCAGAATAAGAAATTAGATTATATAATGTAATTCAATTTAATTTATGTAATCAATTAGCACCATGTACTGTGCTTCATTACCTAATGAATCTAAGATTATTACAGGTGCGTTATCACAGAAGTTTGTAGAAAAAACCTTACTTGTTGCTTTAGGACAAACATTCAATGAGAACACTCAGAAGGCTGTGATTTTGAAAACATAAAGAAGCTTGTTACTTTTTGTAAGTTTTCAACGTATTTTGCTGCACAAAAATACTGCGATGGAACACAGGGATTTTAATTGAAGTGAGGTTGTGTTTAAAATAATTAAAATATGTTACTTATCTTTTAACACTAATATCACAGCTGAGATACATTAAGTCTTGATAATTATTTATTTTTTATAAAATGAGAGCATCTGATCAACCCCAGCATCTCTCCCACTGTGAATACAATAAGTGATTCAACTCAGATTTAATTTTGAAGTTAATCCAGACTCACACACAAATAAACAGCCAATTAATTTAACAGTCATCACTATAAACAGAAAAGACCCCCCACCCCCCACCCCCTGCAAACCTCTGTTGTGAGAAAACAGTTCACATGTGTCAAAATTAAACATGTTCAATTCATGTTTAGGAAATTTTCTGTGCAGCAAAAAAATAAAAAGATAACAATTAAAAAGTACCAAGTTTACTCAGAACTTTTAAGTTAAATCTGAATTTGACTTAAAAACTCGACTTCAAAGCGCTCCTTGGCTTTTATGCCAAGTGCTTGCTTTGCAGTTTGGGCTTTAGATCATTCATGAGCTTGTTGACTCACATATTCAGAAGGCCTTGTTCCACTCAAGGGAGCGTAGACAACACGATACTGCTGCACTTGGCCTGAAGCAGGCTCCCAGCGCACATTCAAGCTGTTTGGAGTTGGATTATAAACCTGAATATTTCTTGGTGGGCTCCGCTCCACTGTTAAGAGAGACAAAAGCGTTATGAGCACAGCACAAGTTCATGCTTCATTTCTAAGGCTTCCACTAATAACCTTGACTATCTTCCAGCTAAAGGTTTTAAGAGAGACTTCTACTGTTGACAATTGGACTTTTACAGGGCCAATAAACAATGACAAATGGAATAGGGCATTGCTTCTACAGCCAAGAAGAAAAAAAAAGAACACAAAAAACACAAATTAATCTAGAAAAGTTCTTGGTTTTGAAAAGTGCATTTTGTGAAGATGGGGATATTTAAACTTTCAAAAAGATGACCTAAGCAAGTTTAACAGGATATAAAGTGATTTTATGGCTTACATGCCTCTCTCTCTAAAAAAAAAAACTTTCCTTGTTATTAAAACAGAAGCAGATGTATTAGCAGTCTTGGGGAAAGCTACTTTTAAAAAGAAATGGACAGCAGTTACAATTTGCTTTCTTAAGTGATCATATTTTTCAATTAAAATTTAGAAACATTTAATAAAATGTTCCTGTGATCTATTTTGTGTAGTGTGTATTGTCACTTTAAAAAGTAATGCATTACCACTGTATAAGCAATTTCTGGCATTTCTATAAGCAATTTACAGTATAAGCAATGTACAAGCAACTTACTTCTTATTAATTTAAAGTAACTTTAATGCATTTGAAAGTAACTTTTCACAATACTGCTTATTAATTTTGCCAGTATTTAAGGTGTATTACCAGATTAAATTCTTAAAGAAAGACGAGGCTCTTAATTTGATCATTTGTTCCTCATATTCATATTTACATTACAATAACGGTATAATGGTGGGAAAATACAAATCAATGCACTAAAAGTGTGTAGTTAATGTAAGCAAAAATGATTCACCGATGTCATTTCCTTTCAATTATACTACCTATTTCGAAGCTGACTTTGATGGACTAATTAGCAAGAAACAACATAAAGGATCAGATACCGCAAATACAATAGGATATTGAACATGAAAGAATTTTAGAAACAGAAAAATGTTAATGAGATAAACTTTTCCTTTCATGTTGTTTATTTTCAAGCTATCTGCGTTCTCTTTTTATAAAAAAAGCTTGACGGTAATAATTTCAAAACCACAAGTATGTTTTACAAGTGCTTTGTTTGAAACAAGGCCCAATTTTCCTGTGGGAAACCAAGCTTACTCATCTAACCCCCTTTAAATGGACTACACAAAGTCTAGACACGAGACTCTTTGATGTGCCTTTAACCAAAATTAAGATACACTATATGGTTAAAGATAAATAAAATTTGGAATTATTTATTTCAGTGTGAGCAATGAGCACACGCTACTTTTTTCATCTGTGCATTAAATATTCTCTTGGATAGAAAAAGAAGTCACGCTCGTGACATGACTACATGCAATAAAAATCTGGTTAAATGACAAACCCTAAACCCACAGAAGACAGGCACGAAGTTCCTCTCCTTGGCTCATTTAAAATGAGGAACTCACATGTCTTTCCAGACTCCGTGAGACGTTTGCCTTCCCCTTCGGCATACACAGGGACTACTGCCACATTGTAGACTGTGTCGGGGAGAAGATTCCTCAGAACAGTGGAAGTGGTGCCACCCGATACTTGCTCCTGTTCACAACACAGAAGAAACAATAACTTTATACGAGTGTGCATCTACTATTTGTAAGCCGGGTGTTAGAATGAAAGCTTGATGGTTTGGAATACTTTACTTTACCGTACGTCTCAAACAGGTACTCAGAATACCGCACACCTGGCATGCAAGAACACTCCTTTAGAAATGTTTTTCAAAGTAATCTGCTGCATCATTCATTTTGACACAATGTTGAGCGGAAACTCAAAGCTCTGAAAAGCTGCGCTGTAAAGCAAGCTTGATCCATACAGTCATGTAAAGGATTTTTGTGCTTCACATAAAACGTTTATTCAATACACACATGCCACTAACCTTGTTTTTCTTCCCTTTTATTTCGACAATACATAATGTTGCGACCCTGAAACTATATATGAGTGGGAGGGACGTAATCTTTGGGGATGAACTACTGTATCTTCTACTGAATTTGCCAGTCATGGGGAATGAATGAAGAAAGCATAAGATAGGGGGCACTTAGTTACATATAGTTATGTTCTTTTCATTCCAAAAGACCTCAGAGAGCCTTACATACAGTACAGGAGAGAAACTACTTCATCCACCAGTGAACTGCAGCTCCCACCTAGACGACATGCATCTGCCATTATGCGGCAGCAACCTCACTGTACTCCAGAAATGATGGATGACTGAGAAATTGCCAACTAAATTAAGGGGAAACTTCAGGGAGGCCAGTTTGTACAAGCCCAAAATGGAATTTAGCACAAAAAGGGGTTAAAGTCCCTATTGTCCCTATTGTTTGAAAGCTGCCAAGAGATCTTTAATGATCAAGTGGTCAGGTCCTCGGTTTAACGTCTCATCTGAAGGATGGCACCTCCTACAGAACTGTGTACCCAGTGCACAGTGTATCTACTGATTCGCCAACAGCACTTGCAGAAGGAACCCTGGAAGTCTCCCATCCAGGTTCTCACCACGTACAGCTCGCTTAACGTCTCACATATTTGACAAAATCAGGCTACAGAATGATAAAGCTGCTGCCAATGGGCAGAGCCCTACAGTTGGAGTTCGACGTGATTTCTTATTTGTTGTGCTGGTGCCGACGGCAGCTAGCAGCAGTCTTCGTTATCACCTATTGAACAAGCTTATTTTTGTTATTATTCACATTTTTCCAAAGAAGGATGAAACTATTGATTAAACTATTGAGGTTAAATTATAAGTATTGAACAAAAAAGGGAAACCCCATCACTCCTGAAACGCTCGTGCTGAAAATGTAAATGCTGGGCAACAAGGTGTATGAGTAACCTCTGATCTTAGATGCTGAAATAGTTGCTGAAAATCTGTATATAAGGATTGACAGGACTTGCTTAACAAAATCGAAGGTTTTACCATCAAGGTGAGGTGGCTAACTTGTAAATCGTAAAGCTGAACTGGTGGAACCTTTTTAGGCCGATTTCGCTGTGGCCAGATGTGCTGCTGTTAGGAATACAGTTAGCGAACAAGCTCGGCACTAGAGGAAAGTCTTACTATGTCCTCGGCTCCCCCGGCGGCTGGGACGTACAGGATCCTGTACTGGCGCACACTGCCCTCGGCTGGCTCCCACCGCACGTTCAGAGTGCTTGTAGTGGGATCAGTGACCTGCAGGTTCCTCACTCCGCCAAGGGGCTCTGAAACACATCAGGGGGTCACGCAACTCTGTGAAACCTGTTCAATCAGCTGGATATCCTCCCACCACCGCCTCCTCCGGTTTTAACAAGCTGCAGTTTAACACGCTGATCTTGTCCTACCCACCGCCTTACCGAATGTAGAGGGTAAGATTGGACCACGCTGCTCCACTAAAAGAAACATCATGATGATGATGTATATGATGCCGCTCGATAGTTAAGCACAGATATAAATATCCAGCTTTCAAATCACTCATGATACAATCATGTCAGTCTGTGCATTCAATTAAATTCACATTCATAGCTGTTTACCTAATGTGCACTATTAAGCACTATTAAGTACTGCAGCACCATTAAGATAAAGAAGCAAGTGGTTGAGAAACTCAATCACTGAGAATGATTAAGGGTGTATTTATGATTTAAGGTTTGAGGAAGTAATGTATGAACCATAGAGCTGTGTTGTTGAAGCCTACGCCCTGGCTGTTGAGATCTTCAGCTACTAGATACCAAACAAGCTACATGGACCAAACGGCTTCCGCTTATTTGTAGTCCTTCATGTGTTCCAGCTGAGGTGGTCAGATTGTTCAGGATGTTTTTCTTTGTTGTTTTAGTGACAAGAATTGGTAGGAGAGCAGTTTCCCAACGAATCCTTCAGCTAGCATCCCACGGAGGAGCTGGTTTCTCATAAAAGGACAAACTCTTGTAACACGGAAGCACCACATAGCGTCTGAGACAATTACAATGTTATAGATCGCAGGTCAGGACAGCCCAATGGACACTTACTGGTCTTGCCACTTCCTGTTATTTCTTTGCTTTCCCCAGAAGCATACACTGATGCCACACTGATGGTATAGGGGGTGTCTGATGTCAGTTTCTGCAAAACAACGCTGTTCCTTCTGCCCCCTACTTGAACCTGTTCATAAAAGACATATAAAAATAGAATAACAACAATCAGATGACTGTGTTGAGCCATTTGTTTACAATAACGTGTTGCATGTAGTGTATGTACTGTAACTGGAGCAACGTTGATTTCCACAGTCAATACAAAACACCTTTGATGAGATGGTATTGATATTAACATGAGTAGATATAGAAAAAGATAATGACATCTGAAATCTCCACAGAAAACAATTATTTTTATGTAGTGTATTTTAAGATCCTTCAAATTGTCATAACATGCTCGTCACACATTTTGAAAATCTAATAATATGTAATCCCTGCCGTACTGCTCCATAAATTTTGTAATACAGCATAATCTACAATCTACTTTATCTAAGGTCATATTTTTAAGGAATTCAAAATATATACTATATGAAAATTAACTTATTCACTATTTAATACTATAATAATTCAAACTAAATAAGTTTTAATAAGAGATTGTTTTTCTCTGATATTAGTTTTCAAAGGTTTGTTAGGTTAGCGTCATCTATTAGCCCTACTCCCAGACAGCTTCTGTATGTTTCCAGTAATTGTGGATATAAGCACTGTTAAATCCAGCCAATATAAATTTAACAACCCCGTTCCATGTCTTTGACTCAAGATATAATTATCTTTGCTTCTGGAAGGTCATTAAGGCCTAGCAGGAATTTCTCTTAGAAGTCTTAAAACTACAAAAGGGGTTCCCCAAGGCACAATGCTAAATCCCCTGCTGTTTGCTGTGTAAACACTGCCCCTGGTCAAACTCGGTAGTGACTCATAACCTCCTGACACCAGAATGCACCAGGGATTTATGACTATTCCTGGAACAACCATCAGACATCAGTAAAATTTGGAGTTTCTTAAAAAGCTGTAGTTTCTCACCTCTCCAAAGTGTAAAATCTTTCTCATATCTTTTTTTGGCTAGGATTGTTATATATATATATCTGACCATTGTTAGTATCCTTTAATTCCCTTAAATATGTCGACAAAGTGCATCTCAGAAAATTACTAGGCCAAATAAAATTGCAGGCAAAATAAACCCTGCCTGAGAATTCACACATTCCAAGCCCAGGTTTCGATAATAGCGGCCCAGTTACAAAGCCACATGTCAAGAAATAGATTATTTTGGAAAATTACTGGTTTAGTTATTAAGAAGCAATAAAAAACTACTGATCCTGATGTACAGTGACTGAAAAAGTACTGCCACTGTTTTTTGCCAGTTCCCAACAAAAAAAACTTCTCAAAAGCACAGTGTAAATTATTTTGAATCAAAACAATATTTTTTCTAAACACCACCCATGCTTGTAGAAAACCTGGGGAGCTAGTCAAGCTTACAATTGTACCATCAGTAAAACTCCTGCTGAGGTTAATTCCATCAAAGCCGTCAAATTAAGACTAAAACAAAGTGAAGCAGTCTCTGGCCTCAGAGGTGTAATTAGGTCATTGAAATCTAGTGAAATAGCATGCAGAATGACATGTACAGCCATCTGTGTTGTAAGACACTTTAGGATTTGTAACCACAAGGTTGTGAGTTCAAATCCCAGGTGGCTGGGATTGTACCCTTGAGCAAAGTGCTTCAGTCAATTGACTGCAGTAAAATGCTCTGTGTAAATCAATACTCTTCAGGTTCTCATGGTGAGAACCTGTTCACACTTGACTTGATCAGTTAAATAAAAAAAATATCGTCATTCCAATTTAGGAACCTTTGTACCATAGTTCAATAATCAGAATTCTGGAGTATTCCAGGTAGAATTCTGATTACATAAATAAATGTCAGGAAGCAGCCATACGCAAGTATAAGTAGACTCACAAGAAAAGTGAAATGATTCAGTCTTGAGGACTTCATCCTACAAGTTTTCCATGCCTGTTTTCTTGGCAGCATATATTAATGCAAACCATATTGTGCATCATGAAAAGTCTGCTGGATGTCACCCTTTGCAAGTAAACTTCACAAATGTGGTATGAAACTCAACAGTGCAATTTTCATGCAGGCTTTTTTTAATATTGTAGCATCTACTAATGAGAATGGAAGGCCTATGTAGTTTATACATATACAGTAATTTCCATGCAGATAACACCCCAGGTCTGGAACCAATGCTTCAGCACTGCAAGGCAGCAGTGCTAACCACTGTACCACTGTATCTGTACCAGGTTATGTTAATCTTCTGCTGAACTAAAATCTTGTGAACATGGTGTACTAAGGCAAGAGTAATGCCTTTGGTACAAAGGAGCTCTCTGAATTCTTAAAGGTTAAGTGTAACTTCTCAAGGTTTTGGTAAAATCCTTAAACCACCAAACAAAATGTGCAGAAGATCACATTAATGGTAACTGCACATGGCCTAAGAAAAGTAGTTGATCAAAGTCTAGTCTAGTGGCTCTTGCTCTCTTTTGTTTCAAAGGGTGATTTATTTTAATTAAAGATGAACTGCTGCTACACCCTTGTCACATTTTGCAGCAAAATCATAATAATTAAGCAAACGTTGATGTGAAATCTCATTTTTGAGTCTTCTAGCTTTCAAAACAACAGATTTGATCTCAGGAGTGGGAAGCCTTAAGTCCGTTATTGCCTGACAGAGACAGATTTTCTCAGTACTGTTCTTATATTTGAATCATGTTTGAAAGCACAGAAACACAGTTCCAAACACTTAAAAATTAGGCCCTAGTGCATTTTTGACTGAATACCAGCATTTTGCCAAATGAAAACACTGATCAATTTACATTAACACAGCTGCACAGCTGTACAAAATTGTTTACTGGGTTTGACTGATGTGCAAACACAAGGCAATTTACCAGTATTAAAAAAAACAATTCTGAATGCATTCATGAATAAGTAAAGTTTAGATTATATTATGGCAATACACAATGACTGCCATTTTGAAGCTCTGAATAGTTCAAGAACAGCATAAACATTGCTTTTTACTAAAGACAAGGACACAGGTACTGTGTCATACCCCAGTATAAGAACGTTCGGTATATGAATTTTCGCTAATCTGACCATGAAGAATTTGTACCTTGTAATTTGTTATAAGAACGAAATTTTGCTAATCCGAACTTTGAAGATCGAAAGTGACCAATTTTGGCCGAGAGCCTTCTGAGAACAACTGGATTCAGCACCACTGAACAGCTGCATGTTTCTGGGCAGGCACAAGGCACTGTGGTTAAGGCCACCGTGAGGCAGCATTGCTGTGTTTACAATCACAACGCAAGGTTGTGCTCTCATTCCCAAAGTGTTTTTTTGAGATTGTTTTGTAGTTGCTGTTCATTAAGGAATTGCATCCTTAATGCTGTTCATTGAGGAACTGCATGGGTCTTAAGGAAGAGAAAAATATTCTTTAGCGTAATAGTCAACAAGAGTAAACACATCGTCCTAGCTGATCGCTTGGATAGCGATCAATTACGAAAGAATAAGAAATCTAAATATGATCTAATTATAGTTGGCTTATTTGAGTAGAACTGCATTGTTCACTTAGCTTGCTGTAATGGTCTGTATGGTATTGTATGGTTAGGGTGGTTTTTGAGTGAACTTTGGTTCGGTTCAGAACGGGGTGGAATTTTCCCCATAAGAAATATTTTTTTTTTCGATATTACAATCTCCCACCTTCTGAACAGATTTTCGGGAACAAATTAGGTTCGGATCCCGGGGTATGAGTGTAATTGCATGGCGCTTCATTTACCGTTTGTAATTGACCCCCCGCTGTAGGGATATATGTTATCCTGTAGTTCTGCACTCTGCCTGGAGCAGGGTCCCACTTCACAGTTAGGCTACTTGTAGTGGCATTGTACACCTGCAGATTTTGCGGGGCACCTGTTGGAGCTGCGGATATAATGAAAAACGCACTTCAGAGCAGGCATCCATTCACAGAATCCTGATCAGATTATGCATTTTACAAGTCCTGTAGATTAGAAAGGTGGATAGCCATCTCAGAACATTAGAGAATGTGGCTGCAGCAAGAAAATGGTCTTTTATGCCATCTGAAGAAAATTAATTTCACATCAGAAGGAGCACATATCACTAAATGCATGCTGAGTAAGTATTATATATAGAATACTAACAGATCTTACCTGGTGTTGGAGCTTTAGACACTAGGAAAAAAGGAAAGGAAAAAAAAAGAAGAAACGTTGAATACCAGGCATTTTTAAACTAAGCTAACATAGCTTGAGGAATATAAGCCTTACATGTGCGTTGGCTCCCCATTAAATCCTCACTCTCTGATTCATCTGGATAAATGGCTGTAACTTGAACATCGTAGATTGTATTCGGGTCTAGATTCTCCAAGACACTGGTGTTTTCGTCACTGTTAAGGATTGCCTAGGGAACAAATGGCTAAGTTACTGATACAGTCAAATATGTAGAAAGTAATACACAGCTCTAATACTAAAAAGTGATCACAACCGTAGATGATCATGCTTTGTCTGTGCCCTTACATATTGGATGTCGCTTCCACCCTGTTTAACCCAGCCGATCCTGTAAAGAGCCACATCAGGAGCCCCGTGATCCCATGTAGCTCTGAAACTCGTCTGTGTGACTTCAGAGAACCTCAGGTTTTTCGGCGCTGGAACAACATCTGTGTAAATTGTGAAAAAGAGATAAACTCAGCTCTTGATACTGTATTTAGTTGAGAGCGCGCAGTAAATCAAAAAGACTGAGATCAAAACATGATCTTGTCAAAACAGATGCAGTATATCAGGTTGTGGGAGGCTGAGCAGAGTCTAAATGTTCACAATAAGTTCTACTAAATGGAACTTTGGGAAGCGCTACAATAATCCATTACAGAGTACAGAATGTGTCAGGTGACTCATGAGTCATGGCAAAGGTTAGAGAGCAAGAATGTGCTGGAGCAGGGATGAACTGCAGAACTGTGAGCATCAGGAGGCCAGGCCATTAAAATTTGGCTGAGCTTCACCATGTTGGACACAGCCATTCTAGTAATTAGGTTCATCAAGCTGAATTAAAAAGTAGCCAAAAAGTGAAATCATAGAGCTCTTGTCCGTTTTCATTTTTGAGACTAAACATGATCAAAGCCACTCAGTCTGCGTCCCTTTGTACTGTAATACACCTGAGGTGCATCAAAATCGAGGATATTTGGATCAAATAATTTAAAAGCTTCTACTTAGGTGAAACTGGGGATAATGAAAGTTGTTTAGTAAGTGATAGATTGCTACGGATGAAAAATATGAATTCACTATGTAAACTATGTTAATATAAATGTCAATGGAAAAAAGCCCCTAGACAATTTTAGATGTGGAAAGCAACTATAAGTTGCACAGTTTAATATATTATCATTATTATCTTTCATCTACATTGATTTCAGTCATATTACACAAAAAAGAGGTATCTGAATAAATGTGCAATGCTTTGATTGTCTAGTCATCATCTGGAACACTGCATCAACTATATTTTTAAGTGGCCCAGATGTGTAGCAGTGCCTTAATATCTCAATCATAATATTGACTCTGCCGGGATGTGACTCTTCTTGTTCTGCTTCTTCACCTGAACTTTATCCAAATTATATTGGCTTTAGCATTCCAGCAGCACTGCTCCAGACAGGACATGTTTTAGCAGAGAGTCAGCTTACCATCAGTGGTGTCAGTGGAGGTGGAAGGAAACTGGGACACCCAGAGAACGCCCCAGAACCTAACTCTGCCCGGAACCTAACTCAAGACCCTAGAACTGTGAGGCAGCAGCACTAATCCCTATGCCACCACTCTGTCCCCTACAGGGATGTGAAATAGGTTCATAAATATTTGCTATGTCAACTTATATTTGTTTGATCCAGGGCACAAAGCACACCGGACAGGTGTGGGTGTTTCATTTTGCAGGTTGGTTGAAAGTTAGGGGGTTATATTCCAGCAACAGAGCTGATCCTAACCACGATTCTTCAGAAACTCTTCCTTACCAGTTACAGCTTGTCCAATCATTGGATTTCCAGCACCTTCGTCATAAACTGGTGTAACAGCTACATCATATTCCGTCTGAGAAGTCAGGCTGTCAATGACCTTTGTAGTTATGCTGCCCGCAACTTCGATCTGAAAGCGAATTAGGTAAAAAAGTTTCATTGTTATGGTTAAAATATTTTATAAATATAAAAATAAGAAAAGGATTTTATTTGAAACATGAAGATCAGAAATGAGATCATCAATACACACTAGCTACTGTTTTGTCTTTTTAAAACCAAAAAGCCACAATATTATTCTGAATCCTTTGATGGTGTCTTCATGATATCGCAGAATCCCTTAAGGTCCCAATACTGGGGAGGGGAGGTCTATCCAGGAAATGTCCAAAAATTTGCAAAGCCATTCGACTGAATTGTTTGTAATCCTGGGAAAGTGCACCTTCATGTCCAGACTCTTAGAAAGAGAAACCATTAAACAGCACTGCAGCCTGTGTGCTCCCAGACCATTTGAAGTTTATATTACAGAAAGATGGATTTTCTAGGTGACTGCATGCTGGGAGAAGTAAAGGTGTCAATGTTCTCTACACGCCATCTCATTCTCCTTCCTGCTGCAAAATCAGTGAAAATACAGTGCAGTCCCAATATAATTCCACATAATTAGCTGATTTTTGATTGACAAAAACATTTATCCTGAACAAAAATGAAAAATCATTTATCCCGTTGAACATTATCATCCATCAGTTAACAGAGTCGTTGAGCTGTTGTTATTTCTTGGGCATACATCACTTCAAAACTTTGCTGAACAAGTCCATAAGGGGCTTAAGATGCATGAGCTTTTGAAATCCAGCGGAGAAGTTACGATGGGTCCCACAGAGTGATTTATTTCACAGGATATGATAGTCAACTGGGGCCGAAATGTGCAGCCAAGCGATCTTCAGAAGGCACTGTCTTCCAAGGGGTAAAGCCATAAAATATACCTCCCACTACACTGGAATTGTGAAACGACATGGTTCAGGTGAAGAATTTAAAATTCCAACAACCTATATTCAAGTGAAATCTGTTTCTGCATTTGCCTCCGGTACAGATATCCCAAGTGTATCAAAGTGCAGTGAATACATGTTGAAGCCAAAGGAAACAGTAGCAAAAGTAATATAAACCCTTGGTAAAAAAAATGCACAAATACCACAAAACATTCACCATGAGGGCATTTCACTCAACTATTCCCATACTGTAGTTCAATATATAAGCATACAGTGTAATTTCAGTAGAAGTTACTGCAAAGTAAGAGACATAGGATAAACTCTGGACTTCTGATAAAATAGACTACTCCCCATGCACACCCTACCTCTTTGGCTTCTTCTCCATCTACAGGCTTGTATGTGATAATGTATTTGCGAACTTTTCCTGGTGCTTTATCCCAGTTAAGTTTCATGGTGCTGTGTGTGACATCAGTGATCCTTAGCTCGCCAGCTGGTGGCAGTGGCACTGGGGTAAAAAAAAAAAATGAAACAGAGGAGTGTGCAGGTTAAAGATCAATTAAATTCCTAGCACATTAAAAACGGCTACATTTCTCAACAGCATCAAATCCAAAGGAGAAAGAAAACATTTTGTAATTCGGGAGTTTTGCCTGTTTGGAATTTGTGTTTTTGATAAGAATGATTACAAAGAAGAGGAGGCCCTTTGTCCCTCTTAACTTATTGTAATCTATTTCATGATTGCCTGTTTCTGATGAGAATGAATAACTATTGTTTGCAGCAAGCAGTATCCAAATGGAATACTTCTCATTGACACAGCAGAAGAGCAGGAATTTTTAGAAATGTCAGATTGGACTAAAAGGCCAAGGAAGCACAATGGAAGAAGTACTTGTCAGCCAAGTGAAATAAATCTGTCAAAAACACATAGAGTTGTGTTTTACTGTCCTGCGCTTGTTAGGATTTCACCCTTTAAACAGAGTTCTGAAAACAATACTCCTTCAAAAACATCTAAAGTACGAGAGATAGATTCAGTGGCCGAAAACAGATTAATAAAAACCAGGCAAACATAACCTGAAAACAGGTTTGAATTTAACAGCATCTAAAGGTAGTTAACCACACGGAGAAGCTACAAGTGCCAAGCTCCTCTATTTAAAGCAGCAGTCCGAATCATCAGCCATTATAAAGAAGCAGCGTACATGTCACTCCCTGCGATGTCAGAGGGTCAGTGGCGGCTTCACCATGAAGCGCGTACAGGGAGATAGTGTAGGCAGTATCAGAAAGCAGCTGTTCCAGCTGGACATCATTCACCTCAGATCCAACCCTCATCTGCAGGATTAAGACAAGGACACGCTACTGATGAGAACAGGCATTCATTTCTTATTGTGTACCCTTTAAAACACCTGGTTTGGCTGTATTTACACAGGTGTACGCCAATTTCACAGATGCAGCTTTAAGGAAGAAATCAGTTCCATTTTGCACAGAGACACTGATGGCGAGTGAAGCTACTTTCTAAACAGGAATGTAGGATGAAAACTACGGCCCAGTTGGCAACATGAATGTTACTTAATAAAACAGAGATTAAAAAGGCCAGGCCAGTGATACCTACTACATAACACTGCCCTTTATCTTATATATTATTTCTAAATATTCTGTACATATAATGTGTTTCCATACACAACTTCAGCATCTTGAGCACAACTTGCTGACTCTACCTCTTTCTCCGATTCAGGCGTGGTGGCATTGATAGCACTGTACAGTAACAGGTATCCCGTAGCTTCACTCGCTGGTTCCCATCTCACCCTCATAGAAGAGGAGGTCATGTCGTAGACATTCATATTTCTCACAGATGGAAGAGGCACTGGTAAAAACAAAATGTTACATTGCAAAAACACCTATCAGTTGATTTGTTTCTGCTGACCTTCACACTGCAGTTGCCAGCACACTCAGGTCTCATTCATACAGCTACAAGAGGGCTCTTAAACTTGAGAAATGCCAGTAATGACATGGAATAGCATAAGTAGGAGTAACAGCTGAAGGAAAGTTTTATATCTTAACTAAATTAGCACCGTAGTACACAACTGGAAACATGCATGTTACTATAAATTTAGCCAGTTTCACAAAGATTTTTTCATCACATACAATTGCAACATCAATTCTCATACCCTCACATTTAAAAATAAGAAGCCTTACTACACAATAAATTTTTAGAATTAAAACTTTTCTAATAAGCAGAAAAATTGAGGGACTATAATGATATATTTCTAAATTCTAATCCAGTTTCCTTTTCCTGCCCCAGAGGGTTTTAACAGTATTTCATGTCAAGCAGTGTTCATTTTCTAAAATATATTTTGGCAAAATATACCATAATGAAATACGTTCTTTTCAAAACTGTCACTTGGGATCTGTTCAGTAAAAATACATTTTGAAGGTTTATTTTTGGTAATCTAATAGAGCTTCAGAGGAAATGGATGGTGGAAACATCATGAATAAAACCAAAGGAAACAAGTCTGTACTTACAGGTGGTTTCGGAACCTTTCAAGGGATCACTGCTTTCGGTCCCACTCACAGAATAAACTTGAACCAAGTATTCTGTCAGTGGATTGAGATTAGGAAGGACTGCCGTCGTGGTGGATCCATCAACAAAGATCTGACAAGACGAACAGTTATTAGTTTCAAACAGGTGTTTATGTATTGAAAATAAAGCGCTTCTTTACAGCAGACTTGCAGAAGAAAATGTGACAGGGAAGGGGGGGCTCTTCTTCCCTACTGCTTGTTTAGTTGTTACAATGTAAACAAGCGCAAGGAGTTTCGTGTAGGTAAGACAAATGTAAACTCTTAGCTAGAAGAGGCTACTTTTGAAGAAGACGTGTTTATGTTGGCATTTCATTGACATCTTCTAGACAGTGTAGGCAAACGATAAAGAAGGCAAATGAAATGTTAGGATAAATACCCAAAGGTGTAGAATTGATATGAAGGAATGTTGTGTCAGAATTGTATAATGGCCTTGGATGGGTCCATTTGGAATATTGTATAAAACTTTGGTCATAACATTAAAGAAAAGCAATAACTGCCTTGGTAAGGTATGAGGGAAGAATAACCAGATGCATTCCTGGACTACAAGGAATGTCCTACACTGACAGGCTGAAAGAACAGAACCCTTTTTGTCTTGAAAAGAGAAAACTAAGAAGGGACCAGACCCAAATCTTTCAAATCCTCTAAGGAACTGGCAAAGTCCACACAGCGGAATTCTTCAGAAATCCCAGTGAAAGCCACGAACCAACGAAGAAACTACTAAAATGGAAACTACTGAGGGGCAACCCAAAAGATTTAAATCTAGAACCCAGCTGTCAATACATGTTTCTGTAAGAAAAAAAAAGCCACTGAGACTTTGCAGCTGACGGAATGGAAACGCCTGGATTTACTTTGTTCTCGTTCTCTGTCAACCTTTTGCTTTTTACTGTGCTGACGTGGTGTGGCAGCAGCCAACTAAAGCACAAGGTGATGGGCTCGGGGCCAAATCAAGGCTCTTTAAAGAAGAACGCCATGTAAGCCTCAGCAAGATCTATAAGAAACTGATTCAGAAAATCAATACTGACTTTCAGAAAGGTTCGAATAATTGACTTCTAGATGTAAAGATAATTCAGGATTTACCCACGCAGAGTCGCATTTGTTTAATGTCAGCAACAATATCTCACTATCAACCTACACCCTTACTACACGTGCAAATTTGAGAACAGACATTGGAAATCACCCACCTCCTCAGTTCTGCCTCCAGCAGCTGGCCTGTACTCTACACGGTATTGTTCCACTGTCCCACTAGGTGCTGTCCAGGTGGCCCTGAACGACCGAGCTGTGACCTCAGAGGTGACCAGGTCTGTGGGTGCTTCTAGTCCCCCTGTTTTACATGTGATGTAACTAATGAGGGATTCAGATTTAAGCATCTCCTAACATATTAAACAGAGACCCTTATCAGGCCTGCTCAGTTTAGGCAATTTCTAGAACTGTACTGATAAATGTAGTATGTGCTTTAATACACATCGCATTCATTCCAAGTCAATTTAATTGTAACTTTAATCTACTAATCTTATACTTACATACACATTGAATAACCTGTTCTGTGAATATCTTGACTTAATCAAAACATGAAAGAGATTTTGTTAAAATATGAATAAAAGATTTGTTATGCTGTTTTTGGTTTGTAGATTTTAGAATTCAGATGAGAGTATATACAGTATGAACTTGCTTTCATGAAATACAACCTGTTATTGGCAAAAGGTACCAGTCTTTATACCTATATATTAAATAATGTACTGTTTACATGTTTGCATTTAACCACGTATTTTAGCCACATTTTACACTTTTTGTGGGACTAAAAACTCATATGTGTTTATACAATAGAAAGTAAAAAGAGTATTCCGCTGTTTGTAGTACTGGAATTCTAAAACAAAATAAATATCCTTTCCTGGCACATTCTTTTCTGGACCTGAATTTACCACTATGTGTTTCTGACTGATACTTTATACACTGCAGCCTTTAATTCTGGCATTTTAAATCATTATTAAAACATCAATTTGGCATGCCCTTAGGCTAGACATTTAGCTGCCAGGGTAACATAAATATTTTAGAAAAACGTTTTTTAGCCATGTTGTGTTTGACAGTGTTATACTTCTACCAGATCTGCAATTTGTTTCCCAGGACACGGATACAGAGAGGCACTGTTGCAGCTCTCAGTGGCAGGAGGCTGGTATTTACCCTTCACACTGTTGCAGAGGTTGATGGTGAGATCATCCACAATGTCAAGCAGGAAGGAGAAGTCAGCCACATTGTACATATGGATCTCATCTGGGTCCGAAGCAATAGACCTCAGTTCATTCTCATCAGCATTCTTTACACCTGCAAACAATGAGAAATTGTTGAGAAATTGTTGAATGAGAAAACACATTTAAATCTTTAGTATACTGGCACAGAGAAGTAACAAACCAGTCTTTTGTACATCAGAATTTCTAGTTTTCACGCTCTTTTGGACATAATAGAAACCAGAAAGCCTTCCTGGTCAGATCCTTTTTTTTTTTGTCCCAAAGAATTACTGACTGAATTAGAATACCACAGGAATCGCTGATACGCATCGTGTTCCAACTTTTCCTTTTCGAATTTCTTACTGCACGCTCAGCGCTGTTATCACACAAACTCACGTATATTGGTTCAGCTGTATTGAATAAAAGACTCAACTGCACTTCAAAAAAGCCTCCCAAGCTTTAAAGAATCTAATAACCTTTAAAAAGCGAGATAAACAGTTTGTTTGAATGCTTTGCAGTACCTACCAACAGCATACAGCTCAATCCCCTGATCACGCAGGCTCTGGGAGCTCATGATGATATCATCTTGTGATTTGCCATCAGTGATGAGCACTCCTATTTTGCGGGCATTGGGCCGAAGTCCTACATTTGGCTTGAAGTTGTTCTGCAGGATGTAATTCAAAGCCAGGCCTTGAATAGAAGGGGGGGGGAAAGAGAATATGAATGCATAATATCTTTCAATGTCTATAAATGACTGTGAAAAATTTTCCTTTAACTTAATTTGAGCCAACATTTTAAAATGCTGTAACTACTGTGTTTGGAAGAGCTGTAACTAAATAAAAATTGAACTAAAAGTTTAGGATACCTGTTAAGGTGTTGCCTCCTTTGTAAGGCAAATTGGCTACTGCCTCCAGCAAAGACTCTCGTGTTCGGTGGGCATTGAGATGCCACTCGGTCTTTGGGTCCCCACTATACTGAGCCAGGCCTGTAAAGACAATTCAAGATGATCACTTCAGGCATTGTCTCATACGTGGGGTACATTTCCAAATCTTTCAGAGATATCTCTGTATCACTCACCAATTTGCACTCTGTTGGGGCCAATTTCAAAGACACCAACCATACGTGCGATAAAGGCTCTGATGGTTTTGAAGTTCAGACGCCCAATACTCCATGACCCATCGACCAGCAGAACTATATCGGCTTGGGCTGTGGTCTTACACTCCACATCTGTGAGGCCAGATGACAGCATGATTACCAAGACGGTCTTTTCAGTCACGATTCCGATTAAGTTTACAAGTGAATTATGGAGAAACAATGATAAAAATAATTGACAAGAGCAAGGAACATAGATGGTGCAGAAACGTGCTTTGACACCTCTGCGTCAAAGCAAAAAGTGAAAAGGGTAAAAACAAGGAAAAAGATGTGAATACCGTCTCCAAGGCAAACATAAAATACAAACATTGTGCTTCACGACAAAATTGACAGCATTTTAGAATGGTAACAGGTCATTACAATGTTGACAAATACAATTACACTTTGTATATTTGAAGCAATTACAGAATAAACATTCTCAGGATAAACTTCTTTTTCAGCTCGGATCCTTTCATTTTCCACCCGGTTTGCTGGCATGTTGCCTTGACAATCTTTCGGAACATCCCATGGGAAACAAAAGATACCCTCTTGACACATGAAATATGTGTTGTTCCTCTTTGAGAGTTATTATGCATTCCTCATTGGGACAACGCCTGCTATTCCAGACACCTGGGGGAAGAAAAAGATTTCTCGTCCTCTGCATAAAAATGCAGATATACAGTTTAGACATTTGTGACATGTGACGCTGTGTGCAGTTAGAAAAAAGGTCAGTTCAGTTTTTCAACATCCTTTACTGACTAAAATAAAATAAAACTCGATTTGCATATATACTGGAGAGCAATGTGTCCTTTGTGATTTCTAGACGTGCTACTGAACACTCAAAAGACTCTCCCTCCACCTCCAAGCCAGAATTATTGAACAGGTATCTCCAGTTCCATCTCAAAACTTGTAAACTCTACATTAAAACAAAAACAAAGTCTGATTGTAAAGGATGTCCACTCATGACCAGTAGAATCAAATATAAACTCAGTGTTTCGGTGTCTTTATGTAAATTAAAGCACCTCACTGCTGGGTGGAATAATTAGTTACTGTAGTACAACGTACATACGTATACATTTAGTTCACATATTCAAGTATATATGAAAATTCAGCACTAAATCCTGGCACAAAAGGATTTAATATAAATTACTCACTGTTTACAAGCAAATGCCTTTATGAACAAGTCTTAGTGTACTTATGTGTGATTAGAGTCAAGAAATGTTTGATTCTTACTGTTTTGTATTGTTTATCTGAATTTTATGGAACCATCTAAATATCTAAATGGCGTTCCTCTGTTTACTGGCTTTGTTTTAACACCTCTTAATCCCAAGCCAAAGTACTGTATCTGTCAGAATCACTTGATTTGTTCCAGATTAAAGGAATTTCTGCCTGGGTCATTATATTCTCTGGAGTCTTACATTAAAATCACAATATTTTCCTTCTTCCATACTTCTTTAGCTGCCCACCATGTCAGGCTCGCTAAATTGTTGAATATTTATAATTGCAAACAGATTTTTTTTTATTTTGCTTTTGATAAAAGAAGACTAAAAGGATTAGGTCAAAAATGAATCTTAGCACATGGATTTATTAAACGAAATATGTTCCGGACCGCCCCACAATTGTACACACTGTCTTTACCCACAAAAGAGAATCAAAGTATTTCACGGATATTTACAGTATTTACGTGAAATATTTTTGCACAAATGCGTGTATATGCTGTCAGAGAGGAAAAAATAAAATAAGGCGGGAAAAATATCATAATGCATGAAAAATCAAATAATGCAGGAAATTTCAACAATTCACATCTGACACGGCACACATCTGAGTTACACTTCAAGAACGTGTTACACAGCCTGTAGCTCCCTAGTGCTTTCTTTATCTGCGTTTTCTTTTTCGTGCAACGACATCCTCAATATCGCCCGTTAACCAAAATATCGAGATTTTGAACATGTTAAGGGGTGAGATGACAGTGACCAGTTTGGTGCATATGTTTTGCAAGAATGAAATCTTCGATTCGTGCAATTAAGGCTAATCGTGAGCGTTATGCATCTGTTGTGTTCTCTGCATTTAATAATTATGAAATTTGACATGATCTATTTTGTACAGTATTTGCTGTATCACTGTTTTCATAATACTTTAAACTGCATACTGTACATACACATACTAATACACTTACGATTGATTTTACTTGTTTGAGGGAGGGGAATGGGGTGTAAGGGGGTGTTGTGATTATACATGATTTTGGGTTCATGCGCTGTGTCAGGAACCTTACTACTGCGTAAAACACTAGATGACTGCACTGTTGTCCATAAAGCTTATTTATGCAAAAATCAGAACAGTGCGTGAAGTGAGAGCATTGTTTATTTCATTTCACAATCAACTGTGATTATCAGTTGCGTTTCTGTTGCCTTGTCACTTCCAACATGCACTATCAGTTTTTATTACTTTTATAAGGTTTATTTAATACTCTGCTGGCCTTCATGTCTGTTTTCTTGATACAATTCCAAAGTAATGAGGGATATATACAATACCTGTAAAACGTATTGGTGGCGGTTCAGGCATATCTGAAAGAGTTGTCTTTTCTTCCCCAGCCAAAGGAAAACTTTCTCCACCATCAAAGACTCCAAAGACACTGACTGAATATTTAGTTCCAGCCCTGCAGGGTGAGCAACAGTAGTTATGATTGGAGAGATATGAAGATATGCTCTGAAGCATTCCACAGTTCTACCCTGGGAATGCCTGTCCTTTTTAAATGTATTTAATTTGTCCTTTTATTTTAATTTTTCATGTGTCATAGGAGTAGGAAATGAAAACATGCAAATTAAGACATGGCTATTGAAAATCAAATTAAACTAAATATACACAATGTCACTTTTTTAGTCACAGAATAATACCCGAGATACAACAGTTCATTCTCCTGACACATATACTGTAAGTATAACATTCTACTTACAGTATTTATTTGCTTGCCATTTTTTCTAAGATCTTATAACACCTAATTTTACCTTCTGAAATCCGTCAAACTTAATTTTCTATTTTAAATTCGGTGGCAAAGGAAAACTAGTCTGAAGATGTTATTGCATAATGATATACTGTAATTATTTTTATTAGAAGGTATATATCATATTGCAAAAGGCTAATGCAAAAGGGGTCAAGAATGGGTTAAAAATGCAATTTTAAGGCTGGATTTAAAACATGGATTTGACCATAGGTCTCAGCCTCTTTTAATCTGACATGCAGTATGTGCCCCATAATCTAAATTTTCAGCCTAGTCCTGAAACAGGAATCTTTTACGTTTTTTCCTTTCCTTTTATAAATTGTTTTGTTTTAACATCCTGCCCCCACCACACCTCAATTTCAAACGGCAAATTCTTATTAGATGCTACAAACACCGTGGCAGTACAGAAGGATGAAAGTCAAGCGCACACTTCCTTTGAAACATGTACTGTCAAGTCCTGTCCCTTTCCTTGCAAAGCTGCAAGCCTCCAGGATCTGCCTCACAAGGCTAGACTGATGCTGCCGTCAAGCAAGAAGATCCAAGCTCACTGGCGCCCAACAAGCCAAAGAGGTCTATGGTGCATGGAATGCCAAGATTACACTGCCAAACATAAACAGTGCTCGGCTTATTTTTCACCAGCATGTAGGGAATTTCTTTTACTGCTGGCTAATGATGTGGGCCAGACTGGGGATGTCTGGTTTGTAGTGTTTAATCTACTGTATGCCTTTATTGGGAGAGACTCAACTAATTCTGTAACAAACCGAATCAGATCAGTGAGACTTTGAATATGGATTTGTTAATTGATATAGAGAAACTAATAGTTGGAGGCCTGAAATGGTCTTTGTAACTTTCTGCATTTCTGTCACCACAGTTTTTATGATTTTTATGAGCCAATGTAAACTAAATGTTACCATGTATAAGGCAGCAGCTAAAAAAAACAATTTCAAATTGCTTCTTCTGAGATAACATCTCAGTAACATCTATCAATCACTGTGCAATAACTGCAGTGCAGCACCAACAGTGTGAAAAAGGCATAAAGTGACACCAGCACCACGTTTGGCCAATTTACAGGCTTTTAATTATATACTGTAGACATCTTATATTCACTGATGTCAGACTTACTTTAGGTTTGAATTTGGCACAAACTATGGTCAGCTGCAGCAAACAACCAAAGAACTAACCAGATGGTGAGAAGAAGGTTTTGTCACTTGTCCAAATGTTTATATCGCATATACATATCAGAATACGTTGTTCTTTCTGGTGATGGAAGGGATAGATGATGGATGAAGAATAGGTCATTTAGCAGACATGGTTAGGTCCTTGATTCGGTTTGCTTAATCATCCAGCTGCATTTTAGATTGACATACCTGAGTTCTTCAAGCACTACCGTGTTGTCGTATGGCCCAACAAGCAGCTCCCCAAGATTCACTTCGTCATCGGCGGGGTGAAAGGTAACCTTATACCCTCTCACTTCACCCGGCGCAGGATCCCAGGAAACCCGAAAACTCGTCTTGGTTGGCTCAGACGTTTGGAGGTTTCTGGGTCCTTTGAAAGGTGACACTAAAAAAAACAAGAAAACATTCTAGTGCCGCAGTCTCATGGCTGGTGTACAGGAAAAGCCATTTATTCCACTACCATCAAATTTGTATAGTTGTGTATTTATTTTGTGCTGTTAAGTTGGGCAAAAAATATTCTCTTCCATCACCAGAAACAAAAATATACGCAATCTTTTGTGAATTACACTGTTAAATTGAAGGTTAAGAGAGGCAGAAAACAGTTTGTAATTGACACGCTTCGGGTTAGTGATTAAATTAAAGTTTAGATTATGTATAGGGTTTTCAGCCGTGATTTCAGGCTGCCTTCTGTAAAAATATAGCAGCATAGTTACAGTGGAGCACGGAGCAAACACTCTGAACACTGTGAATATTGTGGGCTACATCCAGTCTAAGAGTTACCAAGCAGGCCGTTGCTCGTCTGATGGGAGCTTTATCTAATTTGCGATGCCCGAAGGGTCGCGAAACAATGATGACACAAACTCATCACTCATGCTGTCCGTTACGGCCGAACGTACATGTTGTTCCCACTCCTTGCCTTGCTTTCCCTTCCCCTCGCCTGTACACAGGCAGCACGGTGATGTCGTAGGAAGTCATGGGCTGCAGCCGCCTGAGCACGGTGGTCGTTACAGATCCGGGCACTTTGGTGGCCAGCTGCCGGCCGCCGGCCACCGGCCGGTAAGTGATTCTGTAGTTTACGACTTCTCCCGGTGCGGCCTGCCAAGTCACCCTCAGACTTTTCTCCGTTTCCTCAGAAACAGACAGCGTCTTTCCCTCCGCAGAAGCTACAATGAAAGAGAAAAAGAAATGTGAGCTCTTTACTAATTGTGACATACAAAAAATCAGCGAAGAAGTCATCAGGGCTCATAGGTGGTGGGCCTATATTGCCATTGTGACTCTGCAGTAGTGTCCTTGTGTACAGACTTAGTCACAGTCATTCACAGGCAATATCAATAGGTCCTGCTATTCCAGCTATCCAGCTGTACAAATGAGACCCAGCATTCTCTGCTGGTTCTTCTACAAAGGAAAAACCACCTCATGCAGATTAATCTTGTGCTCTCTAATGACACAAAAAATCAGGATAAACTCTGGTCCTACTAGCAACTCAAGCTCGTGAAATCTATGCATGTAAACTAAATTAGTTGTGAAGCGTGATTATATTTTGCTTGTCCTAGGGAAAGGTTATGTTTTGACTGTTTCTGCAAATGGATGTCTTGAAAAAACATATATCTGCACTTGCTTTTCAGTTCTTACTATTTAAATATCTTGTTATGTACAGTATGTTATAAAACATTATTTAATAACATTTCTGACAAACCATCCTCAAAACTTTTTCCTCTGAAAAGAGTTAAGAGTTAAAAGTTCTAAAATTAACCATACAGGAAAGCAGTGTTATACTATGCTCTGAAGCATCTGAGAAAAGCATGTTTTTACTATAATAGTCAATAAGACTGGCAAATGTTAGCCTAACTAAAGAGCACAAGAATAATAGCACTAAGCATAATCTGAAACTAAAATAAGTAAAGAAACAGAGAGTCAAAAGTATAATCAGGTAATATAAACCAGTCTCTCTCTTTTATCTCTATCTTCAAACAAAAGGCTTACTCTAAAGGGAACAGGCTCATTAATTATGGTGTTACCTACTGCAATAAAGTAGAAATTTAAAACAAAGAGCATCATGAGATTCCATGGAAATAATGTGTTCTGTTAAACTTCACAAGATCGAATTTCTATTTTAAATATGCTGTTTGGGTCTAATAGACATAGCACATTACAAAATTTTCAGTGCATTTACAGTCACTGCCAGGTAACCTACTCAATAACAGAAAACAGCCCTACAGTGAAAAAGTACTTGAAATTTTTGTTAAAATTATGTCGACCAGCTTGCAGGAATCAATAAGCAAGCTGCTTAAAAGAATCAAGTTTCATGAACACAGTTTTGTCTTGAAAACTAAAAAAAACATATTCATGTACAAGTATTCTAATACTTTGTGTGTATGCAAATGATTAAAAACTAATCATACCAAAACTGATAGATTTTCCTGAATATACTTGGATCTTGTAACTCCCTTGGTAAAAAATCACAGACAGCGTTTGAACACAATACAACACACATGCATAATTTTAAAAGTACTAATATCTCAGCCAATAACTAGGATGCTACAGTACCTCAGCCTTTTCTTAATTAGGGTTCAAGAGTCTTCTACTGATAATTCTATATTTTTCTGGGTATATGAAGGAGAAACTGCTCAGTGGGTGAGTACTTAGCAAAACTGGATGCAATGAGTAAAAATATTCTCAGGGGAGTTTGGCCAACTCCAACCTTGGAAAATGATCAGATCTGAGTTTAACAGCAACCAATCACTGCAGAAGGTGGCTCTTAAGGTGGCTCAGTTACTTGATGCTAAATGCTGATCAAGTCTTTTTCAGTCCTACAGTTGTCCAGCCCGGACCCCATTAGAGTAACTACATTGCTGCAGAGGCCTATAACTGTAAAAGAAAAGTGGAAACACTTTGCATGTACTTCTTCGCTGTATTTTAAACATGAAAATCAAATAACGTTAAAATGTTATTTCACACCCGGGGGGGATATTTAAAATTAATAAATCTACACTTCCTGGTGGCATCTTATTTCAGATCATGCAGGAAACAAGAGATGTTGACAACTGCTGACAGGAGATCCTTGCAGGAGGGCTGGGGAAGACAACATGAACGCGTCAGAATTCCAGCACAGAGGAGGTGTGTTGAGGGAAAGAGCTGGGCTGACATACCGTCTGTTGTTTCCTCGCCCACAAGTGGATCTCCTTCCCCATGGCCGTACGCCGCATAGACAGAAATCTGGTATTTGGTTTCTGGCGTTAGTTCCTCCAGAACGGTGTCTGTCACGTCTCCGCGCACACTCTTCTCTCCGGCCTCCTCAGTGAAGGCCGATTTCCAGGCGATCCTGTAAGACCGCACGTTCCCAGGTGCGGCGGCCCACGAAACTCCGAAGGACGTGTCGGTGACGTCTTTCGTCACCAAGTCACGGGGGGAACCGAGCTCTGACAAAAAAAAAGGAACAGGGAAAACCGTTATCATTATACGCATCAAATATGTGATTATCACAAGAAGTAAGTAGACATCGATACTCTTCTAGATCTTCAGTTTATGGTGCATATGTATATTCAGGGTTTATTTTAAAAACGGTGTTCTGCTTAAAATCACCTCCAGGACCCTACTTTGTAAAAGGAGGGATACCACTATAAAACACAGATAAATTGATTTATAAATGTATAGGGCTTTATGTACACCAACATTTAATTAAAAAACAGTACCTAGATTAAACATAATGCTATGAAATACAAAATAGAATACAATAGTCAAAAAATAGTTTTTTCTACTTTTTATCTAATTCTTCTATTTTTTATCTATTTCAGTGCTGGGAATAAAACGTAAATTGTTGGACATAAAGACTTATAGAAAATAACTATAATTGCACAAAAAAAGTGCACTACACATTATATCATAAAACAGAATAAAATGCAGCTATAATATATAAACATATCAGTTGCTGTTAGAGTATAAAATATGCAGTTAAATCATCTTAAAGTCTTATTTTAAAAGAAAGTCTTCAATCTAGGATAGCATTCCTAGCAAAAACAGGTGAAAAATCCCCATAAACTTGGATCAAACAACAAAACAGAGCTTCTTCTTTCCTTTTAAGGCTTACTGTAAGAGCAGTAAAGCTCTTATTGCTGTCACCATGGGGCCGATATATTATCTACTTTAATATACCATCAGGAATATGTCCTGGACCAGCACATATTGTCTTGATTACAGCTGTGGATGTCAGAGACACAACAAAGTAGCATCAATCTAAAACATAGTAAACTCCTGATTGGGAAAAGCTATGGATTAAGGAAAAGGGAACTAGGAATCCTTTTAGCCCTTAACATTTAAATTTCTGAAACAAGACTACAGCTAGACAGAGGGAAGTCAGACTCAACTCAATCTAAGCACCTCCATCCCGAAACTGAGGTCATGATTACGTGGTCAGCACTGACCCATGGCACAATTTGGCAGGGTAGAAGTGTTAACACTGGACTCCTCTGAGCTTGTAACTTCACCCTGAATTCAACTGTAGCCGTAATTCTCACTTCACGGTCTGCTCTGCTGTGTAGTGGCTCTGCTGGTGTAAAATGGCTGCCATGTGTCAGCCAGTGGGGTCCTGCACTTCAGTGGTGCATAAAGTGAATACTACTGTTATAGCAATAGTCTTTGGGATCCTTTAAAATTTGCTTTTCAAATTGAAGCAACTATTAATTAGGATGAAAATCTTCACATCCATACTGTAAGCAACTAATAGTGATTACATTGCACATTCTGAATATATAAAGTTTCATGTTCCGCAGACCAAAGAAAATATTTCATTTTTTTTCTGATCTTATTTATTTTTTCACTATCCAGAGTTTCTTCTGAAATGTAGTGACATTGATCTAAATATCCCCCAAAACTAGCGGAATGCATACACGCCTTTTTCCGCCCAAGACTGACCAATTCCTGCTACTTGTGCAATGGGTAGATATAATAACAAATCCAGCAATGATTCACAAGAGAATTATAATTCTCAAGCCTTGTCAAATTTAAAGCATTCTGGTGATTACTGGTGCCAAGTTGACTTGATCCAGACAAACTTGTGTTGCCAAAACTGAAAACTAACTTCCCCTCCTAAACACCACTGGGAATGGCTCACATGATGATAATGAGTTCAGCAGGCGCATCCAGTTTTCATCATTAATATGCAGATTGAAGTTTGTTCCAGACTGTCACACACCGCGTATCCAATGTTACCAAAATGAAGGCCACATAGAAAAATTGTTTTTTGTTTTGTTCTTTTATAGCTGGTTCTATTCAGACATTAAACGTATTTGTCTTTTGTAAAGGAGTCATATATCAAAGCCACAGAAAGCACTGAAACATTAGGATGCAATTATAAATACCTTGGTTATCTCAGTAATATTCCTTTCCTACAGATTATAAACCATTGAACAGTCAGTTAACCAAAACTGACCCAAGAACAGTGAGTAAATAAACAATGCAGAGCATTACAAAAGGTACAGTGTTTTATGCTAATATGCCTAAGTTTCAACCAAGGTACTGATTAAATGAAAAAAAGCACGTTCTAAAATATTTAAATGCCCAGTTTACAAATTTGCAGTTAACTATTCAGGCCTCAGTAAGATGCAAAAATCAGTAACGCTCCAAAACTTACAATGACCTCATTATAGCCCCAAACGTTAGCTAAATGTTCACCACAGAACAAATGACAATATCTTTATCCAAATTCCACACACTATCAATGTTTTCTTTGTGGCACATTTTCAAATATTCTTTAGTTGATGTTATTTTAATTGAGTTATCAATGTGGTTTAATAAATCATGTCAGTGAAACACATCTAGTCACTTTCTTACACCCTTAATATGAAAGCATGCATGCTATTCTACATGGATTATATAGTCTTTAGGAAATTTACTAAAAAAGGTTATTTTCTAAGAAAAGAGGGAGAATACGAATGTGTTTAATTTTACAGATCAGTAGCTGGGCTGTGTCAGATTTCAGTACAATTCTTTCCAAATACTAAGCCAAAAATAATCTATCAAACATAATATCCTTCATGAGTATTTCTCTCATCTTTGCTAAATTCTTATTTCCTTAATTTTATTGCACATGTGCACAGTACATTTGAACACATTTAGCCACTGAAAGAGATTTAACACATGGTAAGAGATTAAGGGAAAAAATCTGTAAAGAACTTTTTGTGCTCTGCAAAATATTACATTAATAAAAGAAAACACCTGTGGAAACAGGCACAAAGCTGAAGAACACGGTCCAATAAACCAAATAAACAAGAATACATTTTTTCCAACCAAGGTGAAGAAATAAACCCAGAAAAAACAGAACAAAATTCAGTACCTTTGTGGGAACTTCCCCGCCAAATAAACAAGTCTATGTGTTTTATGCTGTGTTTTCTGGCTCTGCAAAGTACATAATTCCTACAACACTTTCAGCAGAGGCACAAGACACTTATAGATGGAGGTACTGTATGCTGCAGTCAGAAAGTTCTGCTCCAGTGCAAGGCTTAACTGCCTTTTCATTGAATGCAGACTGTCAAAATATACATTAGAAAAAACTAGAGAGACAAAAAATTGTTTTGACTTATAGTCTTTTAGCTTCATTGCACCGAATTAGGCAGAAATCAAAATGCTTGTTGTTCTCAGACATCCTAATGGAGTATTTTATGCATTGTATGACCATGAGGATACTGCACAGGGTGAATAAACAGCACATAATCAGATTATGACATACACTTGTCATTGTATTTTGCATTATCCTAAAATTAATGTTAATCTGACTGCATCACAGTCCACTTAAAGATGTGATATTTCCAAATAAGCAATTTACAATCGAATAAGTTGCCTTTTTTCTTTGAATATTTGCTGCAGAACCCAGAACCTTCCAGATTACTGTAGAAGTTTTGCATTGTGGAATAAAATGATTAATGTTGCCCATCAAACATAAAAGCAAAGTCAAGAACATCCACAAATGAACAAAATTGTTGATGAATCTGTCTGTGATAGATTGGTAATGCTCTGCAGCTAGCTATTTTGAGAAGCACCAAATAATGGTGTCTGAGAAACATCACATATGATGTCCTTAAAGTGAATTGAACATAGGAAATTGAAGGCTCAGGAAAATATTTTTGGCCTTTAACTCACGTCTGATTGTGATTGATTTTATTTCCATTTTCCTCTTTTTCTCTGTATTCCTTTGGTACCTCCTTCAGGAAATGAACAGCAAGCTCTCACTTGGACTAGTCATCGTTCATTGCTTTGAAAGGCTTCTCAGGTAACAAGTTCCATACGCTTTTGGTGAAAATCCTCCCTCAATTTATTATTTTCTCACGGATATTTGGAAAAGAAATTTCAATAATTATTTTTCCCCTTTGATACCTTAGTTTTGGAGCAGCCGGTTATTATTTCATGTGTCATGCCAATCCAGCCCACAGTGACTTGGGAGAGCTTGAAACAAACACCGCTTGCTGCAAAACCATGTGTCAAGTCTTGTTTGTTGACCCAAAACGGGCCATTTTTTATCTTGAGTACAGGCAGGGCTTATACTTAAAAGAGCATCAAGTCTTGCAGTTGCCCACTGTCTACTGGGGTCACTGCTAAGCACCTGGACAAATATCCAGGCTTCACCCAGCACAATTCCCACAAGCATTGCATCAATATACCGGTACCACTGAAGATCATGGAAGTCCTCAATGGCACCAGTAACCACCAAGCCATAGGCCTCTACCTGTACACTGTTCAGAGGATTCCACTTATACCAGATAGTTTACTCATGTCAAACACATGTGAGATATTTCATTTCTGTTTTTTTTTCTGTTCATAATTGGAAACAAGATATTTTATCTCGCTTTTAACTTTTGGGTATGATACCCTTTAGTAGTTCAATTTAGTAGTTAGCTGCGTCAGCATCCATAGGCTGCAAAGGAACAAGTAACAGGTTTATTCCATGCTGAAAAGAGACGAAAGAAAACACAACATTTCAGCTGTGGAGCCTGTGGAACTTCCTCACACCCGAAGAAGGCTCCACAGCCGAAACGTTGTGTTTTCTTTCTTCTCTTTTCAGCATGGAATAAACCTATTACTTGTTCCTTGGATACCCTTTAGTTTCAGTTTCTCTACATTATCAATTGCAAAATTTAAGTTGGTATTTAAAGGACAATCCTTGTTAAATTACACCTTTCATATAATTTTCGACCTAATCTTGATTTTGTATGGGATGCATTCAAACTACCTGAGCTAATACAATTGCCCTCAATAGTCTAATATTTTGAGTGTTTTGTTCCCACTCTGCCTTCAGGTACATGGCTTATGTGTAGATTCATAGAGCAGGAAGTGCTGTTTTAAATGCTGTTTTTATATACAGTAGAATTAATGAAACTGTACAGAAAGCAGACCTAGGAAGCATTAATTTCAGAGGCTCTTACACGTGTTTATCAGTGTGGGAGTTTATCAGCTGATGCAGCAAGTCAAAAAGGCTGAGAAGTGATCCCAGAAACTGCATTAACAGTACACACGTCAATGACCAAAGAAATACAATATGTGCTATTGTGTGAATCAAGAGAATCAATGGAAAATGTTAAGGTCCTCTATGAAACAGTGAATGTGCACTATTCACCATGAAAAGAAAAGGCTGCAATGAACTTCCTCTCAGGACACAACTGCCTTGTTTTAAACTGTGTAGGGGAAAAGGCTTCAGATACCAGATTGCGTAAGCTTCAATATACCGCATAATGTAAGCAAATGTCACTCTAATTATCTTTTTTGGCAAGAGAAGCAGAGAATAACAATTCTGAAGCTTCCTTCCTGTTGTTATACTGAAATCAAACGGTTTATCTAGGTAGGAATCACTTAGAATATCCATCTGCCTTCCACGGCTAATGTACTTCATTTAACTGAAACCTTTAAAAGGTCATACTGTTTTTGCCAAAAAAAAAAAAAGCTAAGGCAAGGAATTTATAGAGAAATCTCTACAAAGAGTAAATGCTGTAAATTTTCTGATGGAAAAATGGTACACAGCACATTCAGCTCATTTGAAATAGACACTTTGTTTAAAATGAGATATGCGCTGCCAATATTCTGTCACTGAAGAGGTCTGTGTTGTTCATGAAGGGAAAAAGGAGAGGTCACTGGTCAGAGAAACAAGCCTTAGTCATTACTTACACTGCATTTGGCTAAAGTGCCCAGATAGTTGCCGTTAACCTTCTTTCAGTCTTAGCGCTGATGCCCTTGTTTGTTGCAGAGAACAGCAACAACTATGATCCAAACTGACACCCCCTACATTTCATTTTGCTTAGTTCACAAGGGAGGCTTAAACTGCATCCCACGTTCTATTCAGCAACCGCATTCTCAAAGAGTTTCATAAACAATTCCCTCAATACTTAAAAAGAAATCCATAACAAGCACACTGTGCCATAAACTAAATTAACCTAACAAGAGAGACGGACATCTGTGAGCAACACAGCACATTATAAGAACAATGCCGAAAATAATGTTCATGCCACACTGACAGGGAATGAGAAGGGATAGAAGTGATTTGCTACTAACCGGCTTTTGTATGCTGTGTCTTTGGAGGGACATTAACCCTTTAAGCAATGTGATAGCTGTCAAACTCCCACTCAAACTTGAAAATCCATTTTTGCTAAAAAAAAGCTGTTGGTCAAACTTGAGGTACAAAAATATCTGTTACAGGGTCCTTTACAGCACTTTCAGACTGATATGAAGCCAGCAGAGGGCAAAAAGCAGGAAATTAAAGGGCTAACTTCCCTTCAGTATCTGCCTAGCAGAGCTGGTGCATTTTCCACAGTGTGAAATTACACTTTAATTAGGAAAGGTTACAAACGAGTGCAGGCTTTTTTGACAGTCATTAATTGATGCTAGGAACAAGTCTGGGTAGCTTTACCCTTTGCATAAAGAAGCCCCTCCTATTCTCAGTTTTACATGCATGTCCACATAATTCCCATCTTGTGTGCTATACAGAACCTTTTTTGTTAATCTTTTCTCACTGATTTTAAGTCAACCTCGTAAACTGTATGAAACAAAGTAATCTGTCCAGCTCAAAAGGGAAAACTATGATAGCCACCAACAAATGGTCCAAACTGCACTCAGAAAATATGATACTTATATTAGAGGTAAGTAGCTTTTCTGTAGGCTGACAGACTAATGCATTGATGCCAGATTTGAACATAATGATTTGAACAATTCCACTTTAGTGATTACTGTAATTTTAACAGCAAGTGTTAGCGGAAAACCCAGCCAAAACCCTTTAACTACCTACTCTTTACCCAGTGGAAGAGTCTAGCCTAACAACAACAGTCGAAAACTCTGTCTATACCCATGCAACAAATGGCAAAATTTAGATACCTTCCAGTGTAGTTCCTCGTCCTGTTAACGGATCTCCTGAGCCAGAGGGGTACACTGCACTGACAGATATCTCATATTCTGTGGCTGGCTGCAAATTCTTCAGGAACGCTGCAGTTGAATCACCCTTGACATATATCTCTTTGCTGTCTCCTCCAGCGGTGGGTACGTATGTGACTCGATATTGTAAGACTCTCCCAGGAGCTGCAGTCCAGGACAGCCTCATGCTAGAGACAGTGTGGTCAAACACCTGAAGGTCTCTCGGGGATCCCCTGGCTGAGCGAAAGATAAAAACACACCCCTTTTAAAAGATCGGTGGAAAATTCCCATTAAAAGGGTTTGCCTAACAAATGTACATCTTCATTAAAGCCAATCTGCCTGGAGTTGCCTCAGTGCCACCAGAATACTTCTACAATGCTCAAAACTGGATGTCAGAAACTTTTATTTACATCTGAGAAAAAAATTGCTTGTGGTGTCTCCTTTGCCAAATTATTACATTAGATACCTGTTGCCCCTTTTCAGTGGTTAAGGAAATCCTGGATGGATAAAAAATTTCATATTTTAATTTGATTTAATTACCTGTAATTTAACAAGTTTTAAAAATACTGCATACTTTGAGTGGCGTGAAGGCAGGATTAATGAAAGAACTAAGCAATATGATACATTCTTCCAAAATCTTGAATAATACTAGGTGCAAAATGCCAAGAAAAGATGTGATGCTTAGAAATTTCTAAAAATAATTTAGATTGACAAAATAAAATTCTAGAGAACTCAATATCCCATTAAAAAAATGGGAGCTATTTTGAAGCACAGCATGAAGCTACACAGGACTTCGTACTGGGTACACAGGGGCATAACTCTGTTCCTCTAGAAGCCACACTGAATGGATTGTTAGGTATTTGACACCAGTTGAGAGTATCACAGATTGCATAGGCCATAGCAGCAAGTCTCAAAAAAGCACAATTCACTGGGGTTATTCTATAAAGATATTAAATACATAAAAATATGTATTTTTTTACAAATCCTAAGATTCTTTCTTGAAAACACATTAAAATTATTTTAAAAAGTAATAAATGAGCAATATTCAAGTTCACATTTTTGGCTGAATTGGCTGACTTCAAATGTCTTTGCTTCTAGTTCTTGGCAGCCATATTGAATTTAGGACCGTGGTGAAGCAAACCACCAAATATAGTGCTATAGAAATAAAGAGCAGCTTAGGCAGATTTGACAGAAATATACTTTTAGATAATTTATGCATTCTTCTATGAAATGGTGACTGTTTAATTATGCATACCTCTCAAATATTTAAAATAGTTTGTCACTTAAAGAGTTTACATATGACAACCTAGACTAGTTGGCTACATGACAGAAACCTGATAAAAAGAACATTAGTCATCTGGAATATGTCTTGAAACTGACATCTGCTTGTATAAACAAGCCTCCAGAGTAGGCAATAAGAAGCCATTTTTGGTTTCCATAGTAAATTTAAAAACTTAACAGACCATTTTGTCTATTTTTCACTTTCTCTGTTGATCAAATTGTTGGCAGGGATTGTCCCTTTCTTGCACCTCTCACTTAAGTACTGAAAAACTACTAAATCTTTGAAGACCCATCTTGAGAACTAAAAATATAAACGATGACATTTAGTTTTTCTTTTTCGAATATCTTGCTTTCCAAATAAGCCTAGCCAAGATGTGGAACACAAAGAATAGAATACAAGATATATATGTTTCATTGTGGAGTTGACCAGCTGCATCAGGTGAACTCCAATTTGAAAATCGCAATTTGTAGCGGTTGAGCCTTGTTCTCATGTAAGAAATTCTCACTACTCAAATCCTCAAACCTGAAGAAGGCCCTTTCTATCTCTTTTTCAGAGGAGAATTAACTTGTACGTGCTCAGTTTTTTATACATATTTTATCCATAATTTACCAATCTTCATCTTTATTATCTCCAACAATCATTTCCAGTGTTTGCTAAAAATTCACCCTAGTTATCACTATCATACACCCCATTAATTTAATTTTAAAAATGCAGTTAACAGATTTCAGTCCCTGGGGCTGTAACCGACATCTAACCTTCTTTAGTTGTTCCACTCGTATCCATCTTCCTTCCCAGCCCTGAAGCATATTCTGCAGACACAGACACGTGGTAGGTGGTGAGCTGAAGAAGGTCCTGGAGGACTATTGTGGTCTCAGGTCCACTGGTGGTGATTTCCTTCCTCTCTGCTTCTCCTCTGATAGGACTGTAGGAGAGGTGATACCTGACCACGGCCCCAGGTGCAGCATCCCAGGTGACCCGAAAACTGTCTACTGTCTCTTCAGATACCCTTAAGTTGCGAGGTGCTCCTTGTTCTGTAATGATAGTTGAAGCCAAGCGGTTATTTATCCCCAACTGAAGGAGCAAACGTCAATCCACTAGGAGTCTGCAAGCATTGTCACAGTGTTTCAATGCCATTATTCGCCTTTCAGAGTCATAGTTGCTTTGTGCATTTGTATGTTTCCAGAACAGGAAGGAAGGGTCCCACACATGGTACTGTACATGTTTCAGAGACTACTGGGCAGGAAGGCATGGCGATTAACCTTGTCAGTTCAAAAGCAGTGTAGTGTGGTCCTATTGTAGACAGAAGTGAAAGATTCGGCTCCTTCTGTGTGTCTTCTGATTCAGCGAAATCATAAGACTTCAGTTTGGATTCACATTTTATATGATCGAGTGATTTTATTTAGCTCCAGTTCAACAGCTTAATAAATCAAAAAAATATTGTTTACAAACAAGAGCCAAAACTATCCAATCCTGTAGCTATTCATCGATTCTACTGTTTCCTTCCATGCTTCCTCATTCATTTTCATGCTTGTCTGTGGCTTTATTTAAACCGAAAGGCATTTACAGTACATCTTACAGTCTAGATTCATGATAATGTGACGTACCTTCTAGGGTTGTCTCGTTTCCTGACAACGGGAAGCTATTTCCCCTTTCATACTGTGAAATAACGTTGACCTCATACAGGGTAGAAGGAGTGAGGTGATGCAGGACAGTAGACCTAGTGTCTGGTGCAACGTACATGGAGATGTACTCTCCACCAGCAACTGGCTTGTATGTGACAAGGAAGGACAAGACATTCTCTGCATCAGACGTCCAACTGACACGGAAACTTCTAGGTCCCACTTCAGAAAACTGAAGGTTCTCTGGAGCAGTTAAATCTAAAACAAAAGCACAAGACAAAACAACAAAATATCAATGAAGAGTTTGCATTAGACTTTAAAAATACCAACCTCTGCTTTATTTTTCCTTCTCATTTTTGTAAAAAAAATATTCAGGCTTTTTAACTGAGCTTCTTTGAAACATTTAATATCTGTAAGTTTGTGCTGCAGTCAAATAGCGCTGGCAGTTTTAAACATCCATGGAATACCAGAAAGATCTTTTTAAACTGCTAACCATTTGCTGACATAAAAACAACATTTGTGTTTCTTCCAATATGACCACGATGAATATTAAGATGAAATGTTTTGCTGAGCTGCTAAAGATTGAAAATATGTGGATTCAACTAATGTTTTTCTTAATTCTCATTTATCTTTGACGTCTTAAGCCTTTGAAATTCTTATTGCAATATTGTTTAGTTTTTTAATTCTTCTGTTTCTGTGCACATTGCTTATGAATATTGTCTGTGTATTATAGGAAGATCTTAAAGTCCTTAAGGGATTATGGTAAGACTTTTAGAACATTTTATCATTTTATTCCTAATATACGCTTATCCTAACCAGTCTTGGCAAGCTAAAGGCTATCCCAGAAGTTAACGGTACGTTATTTCTCTCCTCTGATCAGGATGTCAGTCCATGTCAGGACTGCCAGGAAAAAGTTGGGGGAAAATGGACACTCCTGGTGAAAACCCATGAGAATATGGGCAGAACATGCAAACTCCACACAGACAGACATTCAAGGCAAAAAATCAACCAGGGACATGGAGGGGTGAAGCGGCAGTGCATACTGCATCAAGTTAATGCCAAAACAGGTTCTCTGTTTGATACAAGGACCACTTTATGAGTTTAATGTTTTCAATCCCTTCATGCAAATAAACTACTGACATCACCATAAACATCCTAAAGTACCCCGAGTCTAGTAACTTCAACTTTTCTTCCTTCACTGTTTTTTAAACTTCGAATATTACATGTGTGATACACATTGTGAGCAAAAAAAGAACAAACTCTGTAAGCTATCTAACATGTTTGGGTACTTAATTGAAAGTAAGTATTGAAGGTAAGTGCATGAAATCTGAAATAAATTCTAAACAAATCACTGCATAACAAACAGGGCTTTAAGCTCTAATATGCATACAATTGATAACAGTTAACAAATTTGTGTTGAATTGGGCAAAATGTCCAACATACAGTTTGCTGTCAGGATTTCTGAATCTGTTCCTTCAGAACGTTTCAACCAATAATGGTTTGCATGTGTGGCTATTTATGCAATACGTAAATACATTAATATGTAAATATTCATTTTCATGATTGTACTGTATATAAGGAACGAGTAAGAGGTTTATTCTTCTTGTTCCTTTGCAGCCTACGCATGCTGACGCAGCTACCCACCTGAACTACTGTATATAATGTAGATCATTTCATTAAAATAATTTACTGAAAGCTATAAAAACATTTCTTCAGTCATATGATACAACCATTTTTATACAAATACTGTCCATACAAATTCCAGTTCTTTCTTGGGAAATAATATAAAGCTTGCTCATGCATTCTGTTGCTCTTGTCCACACCCTCCACACAAGGAAAAATTCTGAAATCTTAGGTTAGTATTTGACATGACTCCATGTGCTTTTAATTAAGCTAACTTCCGTGCTGCAATTTGGAAGGTGTTAGGAAAGAAATGCATGACGTAACATCATTGCGATCCCGTTCTGCTAGCTTATCCAGTGTATACAAGAAGCTCCATTTCATAGCAAAAAAATTCATCTTTCCACACAATTTCAGATAAACTGTTATCCAAATATTTTCAGTGTATGATTTATCTCAACACATCGGTCCGTTTTGTGTAAATGAGCGCTTTCACATGTGCCAAACCTTCTTGATTAACTGCAGCAAAGCTTTTATCTTTCTTTGCTAGCTTACGAAATCAAATGCTACAAAAAGGCTCAGTTAAAAAGCCTGGTTCATTTTTTCATCCATTAAGTGCTGAAGTGTGGTGTATTAGATTGGCAAATTTGGTGGCACATTAACCTTGAAAGAAAGCAAGATGAGTGATTTGAAAGACATTTTAAATAGCCTGAAGATATAAGAGCTTATGGATAGTTAAAGACATTCTCAACTGCCCTACGCCTCTCATTTAAAAGAGGTGGGCAATATGCTTTAAATACCTAGCATAGCAAATACAGCCCTAAGGTCAAACATACCCCAGTTTACCACCTTAGGGTTAAGTGTTAATAGTTATGTAAAACTTTATTGTGCCATTGAGTTGCTGGAGTGAAATGGTCTACACATCATCGCATTTTGAACCATACTTACTTCTTGTTTTAATTTTAAGCAGTTCCTGCTCAATTCTCAAGCAGATTGACTGGGTGAGCTCCTTGGATATCCTTTCGAAAGCATCAAAGTCTTCAACAGTGTACACATGTGTTTCTACAGGCGTGTTAGCTATGGACTCCAGTTCTGCACGAACAGCGTCTTTGACACCTACTGCAAAGATTTCCACGTCAGTGTTCCGCAGCTTGGTGGCAGGGTCTTTAAAGGCATCTGACGATTTACCATCTGTGATGAGAATCATGACTCTTGGCACATTTAGTCGGGATCCTTTGCTGGGAACAAATATTTTCTCCCTCACGTAAGTCATCGCTTTGCCCGTGTTTGTCGAACCTCCTCTGTAAGGGAATGTCCGAATCGCTTTCAGCACAGACGCAAGATTGTTGTGCGTGTTCAGGGCAAATTCGGTGTAAGGATCTCTGCTGTACTGGACAAGACTTATCTGTACCTTTGCTGGTCCGATATCGAAGGAGTTCACTAAGACTTCCAGGAAAGCTCTGACTTTAGCAAAATTTGCTAATCCTATACTGTAAGAACCATCAACCAAGAGAACAACATCTGCCTGGACATCCACTCCAAGAGAACACTCTGCAAAAAAAAGGAAACATTAATCCTAGAAATCTGTAGTAAACAGTAATAGATTGTAAAGGCTTATATCTTTTCTTAGTGGTCATGATATGTCATCTGACACATGCATTGCTTCTCTTTTCTAGGAAAGGAGTATATTGATCTATGCTAAGTGATGCATGATTGTGTTTCTCAAATTAAACAGGATGAAAAGTTGGCCATCGTGATGCCAATGGAGAGTGGACGCAAGTATAGCTGTTTAATCAAGAGTGTGTCGTCGGGAGTGGAAAGAATTACGTGAGAAGCAAGTGATTAACAATTCAGGCAGCTGATATTTTCTTACCCAGGGACACTCTGATAGGCTGGGTTTTCTCCATGGCCATGACAGGTTCACTAGGTGTGAGGCCCTTCAGAGCATACAACATGATCTGGTACTCGGTTTCAGGAGACAAGTCCCGGACATTCATCGAAGTGGACGAGGGCCCCGTATGTATTTCCTGTCGTTTGCTGCCAGCCAGCATAGGAATTAGCTGCAGTTTGTACCCTGTTATTGGCCCTGAGGATGGATCCCAAGTCACCCTCATAGATTTGGATGTCAATTCCGTGACCTGTAGGTTGGATGGTGGCTCAACAACTGTGGGAACAACAACACACTGTGGAGGTCAAATTTTTCATAATTGCATTATGTAAAATCTGTGGTTACTGAAATTTTTGTGTTGCTGTCTCTTTAAAAATATATACACTGCAGTAGTGCATTTATGTGTCAATAGAGTATAATTATTTTAGAGTATTGGTTAACACTTTCAATTAACCATCATACAACCATGAATACTTTCACCAGTATACTGACTCTAAACTCCTAAAATATTACACAAACATTATTTTGATTTTTTTTTGTAATAATCATTTCCATATATCCGTAGGTGACCCTAAAGTTTTTCAAGTCAGAATTTCTTCATGAGATTGACTTGACACTTTCAATGAAGACTTACTTTCCTCTCCGCTCACTAGCTCATTGAGCTGTTCATCGACTCCAGCGCATACTTGGGTAATGAGATCATGCTGTACATCTTTAATCAGATCAAAGTTTGCTACATTGTAGACATGTTTCTCAAAAGGACCAGAAGCCATTTGTTTCAGCTCTTCAACATCTGCTCCTTTGATTCCTAAATTGGATTAAGCATAAAAATACAATGTAAGATTTATATACAAAGCAATAATCAACATGAACAGTGTGTAGTTCTGATTTCTTGCCAGTACAAAAGCATTTGAGAAGTCTATCCTTTAATTATCAGCAATTCTAAAACAGGATCACCTATTTTAAACCTTGCTGTTGAGCTTATCATAAATTTAAAATTAAACAACAGATTTGTTTTCGCAGAAACAAATGCAAACATAGATGGATTAAACAACTCAAAATCTTTGAAAACATACACTTTCAGTTCAGCTGGACTTTCGGTAGTAAAATACTACCAATACTACCGTACTGTATAAAATATAATGATTATACATTATGACTACAAACCTAGAACAAAAATCTCAACTCCGATGTTTCTGAGCTTTTTTGCATATTCCTCCACAGGATCCTGTGATTTTCCATCCGTGATGATCATTGCAATTTTGGGAAATCCTTTTCTTGCTCCGGCTGCCTCCGTAAAAGTGTTTTTCAATAAGTAATCCATAGCCTCACCTAAATGGATACAAAAAATGATTAACATTCCATTATTTCTTTTAGATTCACCTTAATTTACTTCACATGATGTGCCCGTTGTGTTTAGCAGGAAAAACACACGATGTCTATCTGTATACAGGTAAAGGTTAAACATTTTAGAAAAGAGCATGTGTCACAGAGTAAATCCTGTTAATTTTCAAGGGCTCCTTTAAAAAATACGTAAACCCGTTTTCAGATGTGAAGCAAGGTTTCTGGTCAGCGTACGTACAGTACGTGCTTGTGTGCATGGTAAAGGTTTTGGAAAGTCAGAAAAACGTAATCAGAGGATCTGGCCAAGCTTTTTTCTGGCTTTTCTAAAGTTGGCTGAACTTTATAGTTAACAGCTTCAAACAATAAACAGCGAAGACACTGTGGAAGTCAGCTGTCAACAGCCTCAGGAGAACATCCTAAAACGTGGAAGAAGAGTTCATGGTTTGTTGGTAACCATCCACAACAACATAATTTAATTGTTACAAAAGTTACCACCTGTAACACTGAACTCTTAGCAACATATGAAACATGTAAAACATCTGTAACAGGTACCAATGTGTTTATTAATCTTCTGGCCAGGGATGACTCTAGTCATTTTAAGGATTTAAGGATTTTTCCTTGTTTTTTATACCAATATGTCTTTCTAGCCTTGGTCAAACACTATAACCCGTGGTGGGACTGACAATTGAAAAGGCCATTGGCATGTGGCAAAGATTGATGTCCTATGTCAATCAAATTGGCAGCCTAAACCATGTCTTCAAAAAGGAGTTCTAAATCTTCTTTGAAACCGGTGCATAAACTTAATTGAAACATGTCAGATTTGGTCAAAACCAAAACCTGCTTCATATTTGTTGAAAATGTATTTTTTATTTTTATTATGTACACCTTTTTGTCATCAAATTTTGTCCATCTGACAATACAATTTAAATATGGCAAAAAGAGCACCCTGTATAAATAAAATGGCAACAGGACTTTAATTTTGTTCTCAGATATCAAAACGCCTCTTTTAAAAAATGCTTTAGGTATTGAACACCAAATTTGGCAGCCATTATACCTGGCACAACATGGTTCACATTTTCAAAAATGGTGATCCCACATAACAACATATCTGAATAAGTCAAATTATAAGGTAACTGTTCAAAACCTGTTCAGCCAGTTAAGTGCAGACTTGTTCGGTATCAATCTGAGGTAATTATAATTATGATATGTACAATGGTACTCTTGTGAAAATCAAGACAGTGAACTAATTGACAGTGATAATAATGTAAACAACCATCTTCAAAAATATAACCCAATGGCATTTTCTAATTGATATGTGATGGTTTAATTGCTACTGCACCAACCAAGATGGCAGTTTGAGTCATGAACTAGTTTTTTCTTATTCAGAACCAATAAACTAATTGATTTTGAAACTTGAAAACTTTCAACAACATTCAGAACATCTACCCCTTGACTCAGCATATGTCACTTTGATCATTTTTAACATCAAAATGGCTACATAGAAATACTGGAACATGGCCACTATTAAAATTGGTTCTGCTGAGACTGCTTCTGTTAAAATACGATTTAACCAATTAACTTAAATGTTGATAGGCATAATAATGTTGTTTATTTTTAATTGTTAAAAAATATTTTAACTTCAGATTTTAAATATTTTATAAACAAGTTTTTTTTTTATTTATTCTATGTTGTTATAATCTCCCTGATTACAACACAGAGAAAATGTTATATTAATTACTATTAATACATAATACATCTATTTCCATCATTTCAAATGATTCACTTTTCTAATGGTTCTTTCCTTGTCAAATTATTTGAAACTATTTTTTTAATCATTTACCTTTACTTACAGGTGCAATATTTAATATTGCATTACTGTCAGTGTAGTTCAAAACCCAGTTAGTGTACTTGGCAATAAGCAGAACTATAATTTGAATTAAAAATCCTACAAATTTATTAAATTCTAAGGCAGACACCGATTTCATTATGACTAAAGAATCAGATGTCAGTGACTGTTATTAAAGACTCAGATATTTATACAGTAGGGTCTTGAGATCTATGGATTTGACATTCACAAATTTGCTTGTTCGTGATTTTGTTTGAACAATGGGGTTTTGTATGGAGGATGAGCAGGTGGACTTGGGTGGACTTAGTTATTAGCATATCTGGCTATTTGCGATGATTCTCTTCACCAAACAGTTGTGGATGTTGTGGATGTTAAATATTGGTGTCTTACAACTAAAATGAATTCTGTAGAACCACAAATGTGTAATTCAAATTCAAATGTTATTATTGCTACTACTTCAGAGTACCTTTAGCTTGAATATGTAATACAAACCACTTGATTGCATATTTAACTTTAGATTTTTTTTTCTCTTCATACATGTATGTCTGTTATTTGTTAATGGGTTCATCTTGTATTAAATGTATTGTGCTACAATATGTCTTTTACCAGCCTGCAAAGCACATTTTACATCTGGACCTATAAAAAGAAATATATTACACTAAAATCTACAATTCTGTTTAGTCTAAAGTTCCCAAATTAGCAATAACAGCAAAGGTTGTCAGCCCCAAACCACACTTCATACAGTATTTTTGACAAACAAAAAGTAAAACACAAGAACATACAGTATGTGTTGTAGAATACTTTTTTAAAGAAAATATTAAAAGGAAATTCCTTACTGTTGTTATCTTTCAAACAAATTGGTCAGGAATTTTCGTGAGACACATTTTTTTTAAACAGGTCTAGTCATAGTAAAAAAATAAATAAATGTACCTGTCATGGTGTTTCCACCTTTGTAAGGCAAGGAGTTGATTGCTCTGAGAAGTTCAGTTCTTTTATAATACTGATTGAGGTTGAATTCAGTCCTGGTGTCTGTGCTGTACTGCACAACTGCAACTCTTGTCTTCTCCTCTCCGATGTCAAAAGCAGATGCAAGGGATGAGATGAAACTCCGTATGTGCTTAAAATTTTCTCTCCCAACACTCCAGGAGCCATCCACCAAAAACACTAAATCTGCAATGGCACTCACAGAGCACTCTGAAGGAAATAAAAAGTCATCAAACTCAACTAGTTTTACTAGGCTGGTTAAGGTTTTTTTACAGTACCTTGGAAAATAAGAAACAAAAACAATGAGGAACGCTTCCAAAAGGGAAATGTCTCCAAAATGAAGCGAAGCTCCATAAGGGAATATCCTAGTTCCAAGCTGTGGAGGTGTCTCCTTGAAAAGCAATTATTTTGCTGGACAACAAATTAATCTATTGAGCAGTTTCTAATTGATAAATTGCCATATTAAGGTACTTGAGAAGCACACTCGAATATCCACAAAGATAGACATAATGTTACCATGGAAAGGTTGATGTTACCATAAAATTGGATTTAAAGACAGAAATTCATCATATTGTTCAAAAATGTGCTGCCATTATGTTTTATGCCATGAAATCCTTTTGGATTCCAGACTGAGTATCTCTAGGTATAATTCTAACATTCTTAATGATTCCATTAAAATAACTAGGATGATTCATGTATTTCTGTCTTTGTACAATAATCCCTTGGGTCCTGTTTCAAGGTTTAACTACAGCAACTCAATTGCCCTTGGGCTTGCAAACCAAATTGTGTCATGATTACATACACAAGTCTACTTTAATACTAACAACATCTGAAACATGTCTGAGGCAGCTTCTCGTTCTAATGTTTGTTAAGCGCAATCAGTGTTTCACTTTTCATCTGGATTAGCGTAAAGAAGAGTTCTGATTCTGACACAGCCACTCCCAGGAGTGTGGACCCTCCAGGCATGCTTCTCAAGTAAAACATATATTATTGTGGCATCTTTGTGAAAAAACACGATGTCCTTTGTTACTGCTATAACAGCTTTTTCTTGCTTATATTTGTTTTTCTTTCATTCCAAAAAACACACAGTAATCTACCCTGCTGGAGTGTCTACTTCTGATTTTATTCCGATGTGATAAAGCTCATGAAATGAAAGCACTGAAATTTTCACTAAACAGAGAGACTTCGCTTTCTGATAAGAGGTAGAACAATGTATGAAAATATGAAATATGATAAATAAAAACAGGTTCAAGATATACATGAACAGTACAATAGTATAAAATAGTGTACAAAAGTGTACACAGCACAACAGTGAATAGTGAATTAAAATAAACAATACACTTACTAAGAGCATCTTCAGTCTGTGGTCTTTTCCTTGGTCCACCAGGTGCTTGACTATTTGATTGAACTGAAACAAAGTGGCACAGTTACCATGGTTAACAAGGTATACCATAAATGAACATAATGTATGAAATGCACCACAAAGATGTTCTAATATAATATTTTCTGTTTTATACAGTACAGCAAAGACTCTGGCAGAGGAAATTTAAGGAATGACTCCAAGAGGAAACTAAAAGTAATTTAAGCTCCAGCTCCACACTCCAGTTAGCTAACACATTCCCGTTGAAGAATTTGGCACTTTTCTATAATGCTACTGAATTACATATTACACTTTTCAGAACTTAATTTGTCAAAAAGGAAAACACAGTTATGAAATATTGTTCATCACTGGGACATGAAACTCTTGAGTGATCTAATAGCTGTTTTATAGCTGTAAATTAGAATTGTTTCTTCGTGCAGTTGTACAGACCTAAGGAAAAGGGCACTGAAACTGGAACTGATAAAGTTCCCCCTGGTCCAGAAATTCAAAACTATTGTTCAGGTGTGTTAACACTTAATTCAGCAGGCAGATTATCAAATAAGGTTTGAAAGAGGTCTATTCTCAGTGTCCAGTTAATTCCAGAAAAAGTCAGAATAAGCTGTTTTAAGAGTGTCCTACCTAAATTAACTACATAATTTCCCATGTTTCCACATTTTCTACTTTTTTGTGAGTCTGTTGGCCTAGTAGTGACTGCCATGCTAGCTTTGCTACTTTCTGGTTTGGGCTGAAATGCATTACAAGTGATTATGTATTCCAGTAGATTAGAAATCCCGTATAAACAAAAATATCATTTTCGTTATTATTGTTTTTGTGTTTCCATAACAACATTTCTCAATAATCTAAGAGGACAGAACAAAATTCCCCAAATGTTAGTAACAAGTTAGTGTGAACAACTTGTATTTATGAGAATAAAAAGAACATACTGTACATTTATATGTACCTAATTCTGCGGCTAGAACAAGATAAATAAATGAATTTGCTTGGAAGTTTTAAGTGTTGTAGATTGTTCTGCCATCTTTACTTAAACAGATGCTTCACTTTCTCAAGCTTACTAAGATGATATTGTGCAACATGGTAATTCGTATTTCATAGCTCAAATTTATTATAGGTAAATACAATATATGTTTTTGAGAAGTGAATGTGAAGTCATATTTCATTTACTATCCACACAAATTGTACCTGTAAAGAGCCCCTGAACATATCACTTTGCTTTAAGAAACGAAGTCTAACATAACAGAATAAAAAATCCTGTTCAAAAATCCTATCATGAGTTTGTCAATTAGAATGAAAGGTATTTACTTGTTATTATAAAAAATGTTATACATGAGTCATACAAACATTTACTTACTTGTGAGCTGGCCAAAGATGGGTATGCTTTCCTCTGCCCCGTCATACGAACTTATTGTTACAACATAGTCTAAATCTGGAAGTAGTTCTGCTATGGAGGTTTTTGTCGCAGAGGCAGGAAGGTTCAGTTCCTTGGCAGGTCCATCTACAATACATTTTTACATCACAGTCTTCAAAGTTAGAAAATCATTTTTGTACCTCATTCATTCATATAAAACTACAAAATGTTATTGCTAGTGTAAGCCTCTGTGCGTGGCTATGCATGGCTATCAAAGCTAAGTGCTATATAAAATAGGCATTCTGAGGACCAAAGATCCTTAATTACTATATTCATAAAAAATAAATGAAAAGGACTTTATCTGAAACACTATATCTTGGTGCTTCTGGAGATTTTTGGCTTATTTAACAGAAACCGTATGGCATGCCTTAGAATCAATCTAAGCACAATATATATCACAAGTCCAAAAGAACAGCTCACAATCAAAAACATTACACTTTAATTGACTGCTAAACGACTGCTTTATACAATGAAGACTACCTACCTGTTGTCGGTAACACTACGATTCTGTACCCCTGTATTCTAGTAGATGGCCGTTTCCATGACATTTGTACTGTATTTTCATTAATAATTTTAAATTTCAAGTCTGCAGGGGGTTCAACTGCAAACAAGAAAAGCAATCGCAGTTAATTCCAGTGTTAGTTCATGAAAACAATAGTTGTACAAAATTTAAAATCAAATAGACTGAAGCAAAGCGCTTTAACATTTTTGCATTAATTTGCTCCAACAACAACTACTTCAAGGCTGAAGTTAATTGTTGGGAGACAAGGAGAACCAACATCACACTGACAAAGATAACACAGCATAACAGATGGGAAAAGCCATTTTGGAGCAAAATGACATTTTCTTGAATTGCTAAGACCATGAATTCATAGCCAGCAAATCAAGCACAGAAAACCAAGAAAACACATTGAATACACAGTGACTTCACACAAAATGTCCACAGGTGCAAACATTAAATAGACCATTTCGTACATGCTGAGTGCAATCAATACAAAGCATGCTTAACCAGCCTACACAAGTTACTTACATATAATGGAACAGGATAAAAACAAACAGAACACTGCACAACATATCTTCATTCCTGAGTTAACCGATTGTACAATGGAATCAGGTAGCCAGATTGTTCTTATTAGATATTTACAGATTCACACCATATTATCTATAGTGTATATCTACACAAAGAAAACATATTCGTCTTGAATTTTAAAGGTAACACATATCAATGACATCACACATCCATTGCAAACCTCTTAAAAGAATACACAATATGTCACATCTGACTCTTGTGTACTTTCTTTTCATTTCTAAACGCTTACAGATTCAGTGAAGTGATGAGAAACTACAATAAAATGAAGAGAGAGAGTTGAGAAACAGACACATTTTACAAGTAAAAAAAATAAAGGCGGCATGACGAAACGTGTTGTTTACATTGAACTGGTTTCACAGAATCATGCACATGTACATGAAAAGTTGTTTGGAACAACTTAACGCACTGGACAAAAGCCTCCATGTACAAGAAGGACCACACGTAGAGATTATAAACATATTTTAAAATGATATTCTTCTTCACGTGTTCTCATGCTCCACATGCTATTTCAGTCCCCTTTCCCAGTACCCTGAGCGTGAGTTCTGCCCATTATGTGAATAGGACATTAGAAGAGGGTGTGTTAGCTATTACACTTCAGAAGTTCTGACTCTGACTCTCTTTACCAAACACTTGGTAGAGATGGCCAGAGAAAAAGTACAGAACTTCAGGCTGTTAGGTGTGAAAGCCTGGCAAAACAGGTGGCTTGTTCACAGATTGCTCGTTATATCCTATAATGGGAAACACCTACATGAGGATTATGTTCTAAGCTTATACACAAAAGGCCGTGAAATATGTTTATGGCTGACATATAAACGTTTTGACTAATTTGAAATCAGACTGCCAGAGCAGTCTAGGGATCTCCTACTCCGACTGTTAAAATAAATCACACAGGGAAAATGTCCCTGATAATACCATGAAGTGATCAGGACACTACCTTCCTATTATGGTGGACTTTTTGACATTTCTGAAAGTATCAGAACTATATTGGCACTTCTTATACATATTATGTACCAGTACATGAAATGGAGATGTAGTGAAACACATGCAGATGCTCAACTTAACACCATATGATTTAGGCACAGCGATGATATCTGTATTAATGAAGCTAACAGAGTTATATTCGCATGCAAAGTGTTAGCAATCTGTTGGATGCAAGAATATCATTCTAAAATACTGTTGAAAGCCACAGCTCAGGACAAATTCAATGCACAGGCAGACACAAATGACCTGAGCAAAAGCTTTATATTCGGTCATGGAAAAGGAGGGTCACCAACCTGGTTGATCTATTCAATGGGCGTGGCAGAGTCAGTCCTGGGCTGCCTGCTGAGCGGCCAGCAGCAGCCCAACCTGTTCCCCTCCTGTCTCGCAATGAGCCGATTCCAACCAAACCCACATATTGACTGCAGGGAAAGTCTTGAAACTTCAAATGACTTCAGCAAATCGTTTAAAAATTCAAACATGGAGGGGTTGATTTCATGAAATTGCGCCATGGGTTTTTAGATGAGTGCTGAAAAATTGGTTTTAACCAACGCTTTTACATTCAAAGCATATATATTATATTACATTCTAAGTATATGTATATAATATATATGTATGTATGTATAAAATGCTGTTAACATAAAAACTATCATCAAGAGATTTCCTGCTTCAGAAGACTTGTGACATTGTCCCTTAGATTCCAGCTGAACTGTGGCTCTTTGAGACACCGCGTTGAGCCCGTCCAAAAATTTTGTCAGCTGCAAGTTGCATCACAGTTCACTTCTTAACAAGAATTATACCCTTTGTCGCGTTGTTGCGCCGCATTAACCAAAGTCATTTCTCAGTTTCCGTTTGGGAAGCCTGTCTTGTTTCCATAACCTCATCATTTAGTCATTCAGGCTGTTCTTTGGCCTATGTCTTCCCCAGTGAGGAAGAAAGAAACCAAGTCCCACAGACAAGCAGAACGGAAGCCAAAATATTACCACAGCATGTGCTAAACATTAAAGATTTCAGTATAATAACATTCCTTCAACCAATTTCAGCACAGCAGTTTTTTCCTAATAATACAGTATGTAAACTGTTACAAAATGAACTTTTTGTTGTTGTGTCTCTAATAATTACTTTTTTTCAGTGTCATGTTTCAGCATTTTGTTCTATATCAGAAGAGGAACATTAACAGCAAAAGACATTTTCAAAGATCAAAATCTATATCTGATTAAACATATTTTGTGCTTTGTTTTCATAGTTTGCCATAGGCAGTTTGTAGATGAAATATTGTTTCATTTTCTTGTTAATAAAATACTTAAATTTGTGTTGCTGAAAGATTTGAATAATGGGTTTTAAAATCTTAGATTGTTATTTCATTTTTTATAGAGTTTACAGTTTCCGTTTGTATATGTTTCTGAAAAATATTTAAAATCTGTTAAAATATTTAATAATATTTTAATTTTGTATATATAAAACATATAATATCGTGACAATATTACCTTTATGGCTGTCTGACTTTAAGGATGTTTCTATCAGATCAACAATGCAAAAAGGTTATAGTTTATTTAAAAAATCTTGCTTTTAAAGTTTTAAGTTATTGAAGTTATTAGTTTACAAAACAAATTCATTTACTTATACAATTCTATAAATCCCCATCCCCATCACTTATACACATATAACCTATCAATTAATACTCCGCAGCTAAAGATCTGACATAGAAGTTTTTTCTGTTATTTTAATGTCTGAATACAGAAAAACAACATTTCTACAATCCTATAAAAAATGTCTTGCCCTGAAAGCAAGGGCCCCCTCCTCCACCCAGGAATTCAATATTTCCTTCAAGTGAAACCTCAGTAAGAGACAGTAAGAGCCAAAACTTGTCAAGCTTTAAAAGTTCTAATATATACAGTACTTAGAGCATTTGCTACCCACAGTATTTCAATGTTCTCATTCAGCTGTTTTCTTGTCCTTAGCAATTTATTTTAATTGATCTTAGGCCTGTGTAATTTTATTTTCTTCAAATGAATCCACATGAAAAATGTATTCTAGAACATGTGTAGTACTTGTTATGTAATCGAATATTTTTCCAATTTTTACAGACTAATACATGAACTTATTGTCACCCAATGAGTGGGCCTTTTTTGTTGGTGCATACAAAGATTGATTGATTGATTGGTTGGTTGGTTGGTTGGTTGGTTGACATCATAGAGCATGATGAGAACAAAGACTGTATGTGATATATTCAATAATAAAACAAACTGAGATATTGCAAAGTACAAATTATATTTGTGGATTGCATTAGAGACTCACTAGTTCTCACTCTCACTAAAAAGATCCTATCAAAGAATCTTGACTTTCCTGCCAATGGTTATCTATTGTAATGCACCTCTAAGCACACAAGTCATAGACTGTAAATAACCAATTAAGAGGAGAAGCTGATAGAGTTTTCATCAAAGCTGCCTCTTAAAACAGCTGAAAAATGTTCCTTTCTGCTTTACACCTGAACTCTCACTAGACTTCTGGCAAAGACAAAATGAAGAAGCAATGTGTCTGATAAAATGCTCGTTGGCCCTGATGCACGTTCTCAGGAAATGGTTCATTTTCAATTTGGAAAGCAAAATGGAAACCTGTCAAAGTGAAACAGGCTAGCATCTCATAAGCAAATCCCCCCTCCTGCAGGACAAAGATGTGAGGGATTCTAACCAGACATACAGTGGGTACTGGCCTCCCCCATTCCCCACTCGAACCTGCTGGAAAAAATCACTCTTGAGCTGCACCAAATAATAGAACATCTTTATGCATTCAGCATTTATTCTTTGCTCTCCAATTGTAAGTTTAAAGGACTGACACCCTGCAGAGAGACATTAAAAATGCGGAAAATGCGTCTTGGAAGCAATAGCAAGCGCTGCATTTTTAATGGCTCTCAGAACATTTTGATTAAAACAACAGTTGTGAAATTAACTTGTATTTTCAATGATGAAACTATTATCTTCACATTTGCATTCACCTATCTGGAAACCTCAATTTAAATGTCACTGCAGCAGTGCACTTGTGCAAGACGGAGATTGAAGGCAGATGACTGATCATTGAAACCCGGACGGATTCTGTTTTCTCCTGCCAAATTTCAAAACCAGATGTTGGTGAGAACTGGAAAACTAACTAGGAAACCGGTCACTGCTTCCCAGCCCCGTCTTCAGGTCCTCGTACCAGTTCAGGTTTATGATAAAAACAGAATCTGATCACTGCATTAATTTTGATTGTGTCTACTGGACCTGCATTGCTCATATTAAACGAAAGAGTTGATTCTCATGTAAGCAAAGCACTGCAGATTTGAATACAAATGTTCCGGTTGGATTAATAAACCCGAATTGCTAAGAAAAATCTCTCATCCAGTCTGCTGGGGCAGTGACTCCACCTAACCTCAATATGCACCTTCTAAAATGGGTTAGTTATTCTTCTCATTTTAAAATTCTGCAGAAATTAAGTATCAATAATGATAGTTGTCTGTACAAAATTTTCTTTTATAAATGTAGACTTTGGGGATAGTGCAATAGTCCCAAAGTACATACATTTATAAGAGAACTTAGCTGGAAAATGCCTAGCATCATTTTAAAAAAAAAAAATAAAAACTAAATAAATTTAAGGGCATCAATTGAGATTTCCTATTTAGAAATGGTCAGATTTCTATCTAAGCATGAAAGCACAGAAAGCTGTTTGAAAAGAACATCAATGATTCACTTCTAGAAAAGGTTTTAGTCACCAAAAGGGTTAATGATTTGCTTATGCTTTGTTATTGACCCACCACATCCAGCCATTGTGAATTGCCAAACTAGTACTGAGGATTTTCAGGATTCTCCTTTGATGGGGGCTACTTCTCTGAATCCAATGGAAACCCATCAAATACTTCATTGGAAAACAGTGGCAGATCAGATTTTTAGATATTCCTGAATGAGAATCTTTAAGAACTTTTAATTATATTTCACAGCAGTATAAAATACATTCTTCATCTGAATGTGACACTTTTATCTCAAATGTTCAGGACTGATACGTACTCTAATAAAATATACAAAACGTCAAGTTCCATTGCCTGATGTGAAAAGATGCACTAATGGCAATGATAATAATGGTTTACGTTTCATATACATCTAGTTGCAAAATGCAGACAATAAATTATCTGATCACACATCTTGCCATAAAAGAAGGAGGGGGAAAAAGGCAGGATTTGCACCATGCTACGTTAGTGATTCATCAAAAAATACACATAGTCTTTTTGAAGCACATAATTTTATTACGGGAGGAGGTTTTGAAATGTACACACTGTAACCATTTTTCTTACCATAACCATCTGTGTTAAGGTTTTTCCTTGGGTATCCTGGCTATAATCTTAATTAAAAGGATGATCAACATTTGTGCTTAAACCTAAAGAAAACAATAGCTCAGACCCAAGACAATGGAACCATTCTTCGTTTTCAGAACAGCAATCGGAGAAGAGAGACAGAGAGTGAGAATTCTGCACCATCTACAAACTAAGTAGCACTGAAGTTTGTACGGAGACAATAAGGAAGAAAATTGAAGTGTTTACCTTGAGCTTCGACCGAGGCAATCAGGGTTGCGAGGAAGGCAATAGCTGCCAAAGACAGCCTTATCTTCATTTTCATTCTTTAGGACTCAGGAAAGCATGAATGAATCTGGTAAAGAAAAAGACAAAAAAAATTAGGATACGCTTCGGTTGAGCCAGGTTCTCGAGAAGCAGGCTTGGCGGTAAAAGAAGAAATGATCAATGAATATTTATTTTTCTAAAGAGAACTAATGAGATCCTGTAACTGCGCAACGTAAGAAATCAAGTTACGGAACAAATTGATTCATATATGGAAAGAAGAAGAAACAGAGGGAAATTGATCACTTGTCTGGATAGAAATATTATATCACTTTTTGGCACGTAAGAAAAATAATTTTAAAAGAGAAAAATGCATTCTAAATGTCCCATATGAGACTAATCAGGTTAAGGCAAGACCATCTGAAGATATCGGCAGCTATTCTGTTTATGTTTGATGATGCCTGGGAGTCTTATTCTTTAGGCAACTCAAAACGATATCAATTGGAAACGAAAACCAGTATATCAATCTTAAGTCAAAACCCGCAAAAAGCCTAATACAACAAAATCCATATATCTACAGTAAGTTGCAGTGAAGACAATGTCAGGTAGGAACAAGTGATGTTAGCGTGCAAGAAGAACTCTTTTTTTTCTTCAGAGCTACGAGAGATTGAGCTAGGAGAGAAAGTGGAAACATCTTTGTCTTACTTAATGTTCTAACACAATGTCCTATTAACAAGAACTGGTCAGGGAAATCATCTTAACAAAAAAGCCTAATAAACCACTTTCGTATATTGAAACTCATTCTGACTCCGGATTAAAAGTGGGTTGTCGTTTTTTTTTTCAGTAAAACGTGGTATTTTTTTTAAATGTGTCCTTTAACTCGTTAATTAGTAGATCAAACAACGCGAATCAGAAATTCTGTTCAGTTCTACAGTATCTGCCCATGAAAGTAGTTTAATTTCCAGTTTCTAATACAAATATGCCGACTATATAATAAGAAGTTACTAAAAAGCAGATATTTTAATGTAACTAAAATAATCTTTCTTTCCAGACTTCGGTGACCCACTGTAAAGTTGAACAATTTGCGGTGATAATATTAAAAGAGAGGAAAAAGGGAGTTCTTTAGGTGAACAGCGCCTCCTTGAGTAGATAGTCCGCATGTTTAGGTTAGACTCAGGCATTCTGTCGCTAGTAAAGTACTTCATAAACTGTACTTCTAATACAGACAATTAAAAAATAGATTGTAAAGGTGCGATCAAAACCATCAATAATGTTGGGTAGGTCAGTACATTATTATACTGTATGTTCACAATACGTTAAGAAAAATACGTTCTTTTTTTAATATGCAGTACCCTGAAAGGTGAACGAGCTAAAGATGACTACCCGTAATACTTCAAAAAGCTGTACGTTGAAGGCATATTTGGGAGCACTAGTACAATGCAAACTTAATGCCATTTTGATAGGTTAAAACGTCAGATGAGGAATCACCAAAAGTAATAAAATACTAGGTTAAAATCATGAGAAAATGTCAATAATCAATCGTTCAAAAACATTTCTAAGGAATAAATAATCTTGCTAATGCAATGTACAGAAACAGTTCTTCTCCAAGGCATATAAAATAGATCAGCTAACGAAAACTGAATTAATTCATAAGTCAAGAACGTATAGCCGTTTGCAATTCAAAATACGCTTTCTTACGCTTGAAAAATGAAGACCAGACATTCACCTGTCAGATTTTCACAACTACGTGAATAAAGTATCACGAATCTCCAATGGATGAAAAAAGTCAAATCTGTTGATAAAAGTCTCCGAATTCGATATTTTATCGATTGATATATTATAACATGTATTTTTTTTGTAATACAGCGTAAATAGAAATATATTGGGTCATAGTTCCAACAAAAGACCTCCAGCCTTTCCATAGACTTGCAGACTCAAGACTGACTAACCAATTCACTGACAGAACCAGCAGGCTGCAAAATTGAGCTTTTTCGCGCTTCACACCACTGAGGATTAAATTTTAAACAGCAAAAAAATAAAGTACTAACGCTTGGTATTAGAATATTTCTTAAAAATAAGGAAAATGCAAACCTGGAGAATTTAAAAAGGGGGCAAAATGTAAAAGAGAAGTTTCGTGCCTGGAGATGCCCCTGATGCAGATGATGTGGTGGTCGGCTAGTTCGTGCTGCCGGTAGTTTGGAGCTCCTGCTACAAATGTCCCAGTAAGGAAGCCTCTTTCCAAGTGGGAAGAATCTCTCCCAGATCTGCTACTTAATAGGGGGCTGTTCCCAACTCTCATTTTACTATCGTAAGCTATTACGAAATCCAGCTAGCGTGGAATCTTGCCATGGTTTTGATATATGAAATATCGCAAAAGTGGGGATATACTTTTGGAAACTTCTGCATACTTTTTGCATTCCTTTGGCATGATGGTCATCCCAGGGTTTTGTGCCACAGGTCTTCTGTAAATACTCGAATGATAGCATCTGCGTTTGGAAACCATGAGAGAGCTTGTTTTTTTGCTGGCAACTGTTGAGGGCGATTTTTTTAACATGGAACAATGGAAAATCTTAAACAACCCAATACTATTTCGTTTAGGAACACAATTAAAGAAGCAGAAACGATATCCCCCTTAATTTACTGTGTTTTACTAAATCGATTGAGAGGTATTTAAGCCCATATTTCATTTTGATTGAAGTGTGTTATAGATTTAACGAGAACCATCTGTTTAATTACAATCTCCTATAGACTACTGCGTGATGCCTCTGTGCTCAAAACCGAGTATTTAAGCTACATCTTGTAACACCATAAGCTACATACTGTACACAATTCCAGACAACTGTTCATCTACTCTTTAAGTCATCAAAAAATTACAGATATTAAACTGAAAGTTTAAATACTTATATCTTAGACGTGTTACAAAAAATCATTTATTAGATTATCCAATATACAGAACAGAATACCAAACTAACAGAGGTGGATAGTACATATAGTACAAACCAGCTGATATAATGTAAAAGTGAGATCTATTGGCCTGATTTCAAAGGCTCTCACAATCTTAAGTGTGCTTGTTCTGAAGAAAGCATTCTTCTTGATGGCATGTGTCAGAAAGCCAGTGTATGAACATTCTCTGAGGAACATTTATTTTGATAAATTGAACAATTAGACCCTTCTAAATCTCATTTATTTACTCTACAAAGCCAAAATCATAAGATTAATTATTATTGTTGCAGTTATTCAATCTTTTGTTATTTTAAAAATTAACCAAAGTCTAGTAGGAGTTAAGTAAACCCTGATTTTTAAGGGGTAGAGGGGTAGAAGTCCTAGAATGAGCATGAAATTGGGTAACAGTGTAATAACAGACCTTGGAACATTATCGACCCTCAGGAAACACAATCTCTTCTTTACTTCTGTTTTGTAGTTCAAGTCAGCTTCCATTCAGCTGCATATGAAGAAGAAAGGTCTACCTTTGGGTAAATCCCGTTTTCATTTCCATATGATCAAAAAGGCTAAAACGTTATTATGCACAGATATCAACAGAATATAACTGTCCGTGGTTATTAGCAGAGCATGACACTTTTACAGCCAACATACTGTAGGAAAAACAAGAGAATAACTTTGAACCATAAAGTGTGTCATCAAAGACGACAATACCAGTCTTTCAAATGTTGCGCAAGTAAAACTAAGCTTGATGCAAAGCAAACTTCTCACTGACATTTCTGTTTTCTAATTTACTATTTCGATCATGAATTTGATGGTTTGACTTGCACTTTCTGTGATTCTTCCAGAACTCAGGAAGCCAAAAGTGAGAATATCAACACAACAGATCATGTAAGGTCACAAATATCTGCACCTGTGGATCTGCGCCTGTGGCTGGGAGGTTGCCGGTTCGTATCCCGCAGCCGGCAGAGTAATCCTAGACTGTTGGGCCCCTGAGCAAGGCCCTTAACCCCAACTGCTCCAGGGGCGCCGTATAAATGGCTGACCCTGAGCTCTGACCTCAAGCTTCTCTCCCCGTCTGTGTGTCTCATGGAGAGCAAGCTGGGGTATGTGAAAAGATAAATTCCTAATACAGGAAATTGTATACGGCCAATAAATTGATCTTAATCTTGAAGTCGACTGCCTCTAAAAGCTAGATGGGATTGAATTCTGCCATGGTCATGGCACATTATCTCCTGTCCAGGAAGCTGTGCTTGTAGCCCAAGAACTACTGCTATCAAATCCCAGCAGAGGTGCACTCATCACACTGGTGGTGACTTAATTTGTGTGCACAGAAGCCTGCTCCCTGGCCTTCCAGACTTTTATTATTCAAACGTGAATGTTTCGTGTGTGTCACAAGAACATAAGAGTGGTTTAAAACAAGCAGAGGCCATTCTGCCCATCAAGTCTGTCCGGTATAAGTCTCAAAGTTTGCATTTATTCAAGCTGGAAAATCAGATTACTGCTGAAGTTTACTTCCGGTTCAGCGGTGAAACTAGACCTGAGGGCCTAAGCAGAGATTAATGAGCAGTGAATTTAGAACAAAGGTAGTGGGCAGTTTTTTTTACACCAAGGATTGTGGATGTCAGGAGCAAAAATTATCTAGTCCTGTTGTTGAAACTGGCTCTCTTATATCCGTCTAGAAATTATTCAATGAGAGCTTTCGATCAGTAAGTTACCAACAACGAAAAATAGCTAGAACATCATGGCTCTTTTTTTTAGAAACGCATCTTTTTCTCTTTTCTGTAGGGTGCAGTGGCTAAATTATTACCCGCATATGTATATATTATACGATTGCCGGGTAAACACTGCCCTCTAGTGGTATAAGTGGTAAAATGCTTATACTATTCTCTACAGTTCGACACATTCCTATTCAAAACCTATCAGCTCCCTGGGGTAACAGGGAACTAGATATAATAAAATAGACTATCAAACATCTTGGAACAGGGCCATTAGAGCTGTCGTACAGAGGAAAAGGCTTCAGAAGTAATGGCCAGGAGACTATTAATGATTTCTATTATTTACAAAACAGATGCCTTTATCCAGCACAACTTACACTGTACTGTAAAAGCTTTATATTAAGTGTAAGTACGGCATATGTAGTACCTTACTACATACAGCAAGTTAGCTATTGAAAGTACATCATATTTATACAATGATAATGAAGCTAAAACAAAGCTGAAGAGCAACACAAGTGCCAGCCAAACAAAATTAAAAAGTTCAAACTAAATCAGTGTAAGGGTACACAGCAGTAATGCAAACATAATGTCGGTCTGTACAGTACTTTTGATGTTTATGGTAAATGAGTGCAAATTAGCAAGCTACATTACCAGCTTGGGAATTAAAAACAATTAGGCCAATTATTGATTGTTTAAGAGTTATTGAAGGATCACAGGCACCGCCTAAACAGGTAACCCTTGGTCAAGGGCCCAGAATATGGTTCAGCCCCAAGTGGCTCTGATGAAATTCAATAGTTCGTTCTCCGGCAGAAAATCTGGCAGAAGAGCAGTTGACAGGGCAGGAGGTTGTAAGGAGAGATCAGAGATTGGAAGCAGGTGCCGGCTGAGGTAACGACAGGTGAAAAACAGGGGTTTGAATCAAATGCATCCACCGACAGCAAGCCAGTAATGCAATAGCGAGAGTTAAAGAGAAGAAGAGAGAAGACAGGGCGCGCCACAGAAACCTGGACAAGATGGAGTGGGCAGATGGCAAAGAGCAAGCTACAACAGCCAAAGCAGAACAGGGCACATCTTCATCTTCCCAGAGGCGCTGCCGCCCTGATTCTAATGGCGACGATGAAAGAGGTTAAAACTGCGTGACTGTGTGGCGCGGCTCGCCCAGCCGCGGGAGTGGCGGCCCGGCCGTGAGGACAGGCCTGCTCGAAGGGGCGGGGGAGCGAACGATGGGGAATCCGGCTCGGTTAGTGCGACGCTGTCACGCCCTCTGCAGCCAGAGGGCGCTCCTACTCTGTCCTGTCTCTTGTTTCCGGTGCTTTGCTGTCCTTCCGGTGTTTCTCTCTCTCTCTGGGGCTATATATTTCCGGGTCTTTCATTTGCCTTCGCTCAGCATTGACGTTCGGATGTCCTGAAACCAGCCTAGCACCAGGTCGCCCCACATCCGCTACCTGAGGGCATAGGTTTCTATACGGTATTCCCTGAACAGCTGAGCCCGGGCTAACCCCCGTCTCGCCGCTACGCATAGGGTCATTCCACGGTTCATCCCTTCCGACATTCGTGACAGACGCAGGGGTGATGAGGGAGCCAATCCCCTGAAAAGAGGGACGGAGGAGACGGCTGAACGCGAAAGAGGTACACGGAGGGAAGATCTGGGTTCGAGATTTACATACGGAGGTGAGCAGGAGTCTGTGAGATCAGGGTCTAACCTTCCTCTTGAACGTTTCTGAACTCCACACAATTGCAATGGACGGAAACGTGTGTCAGATAAGCGCTCTTCTGCTGGATTATTACCTGCCTATATGGAGCGCTCGGAAAGACTACTGTATCTGCATCCCATCAGGCATGCCTGGGCTTCCAGTTATCAATCACATCCAAGAAACTTTCATGAGCTCAGATGTGGCCTTGAGCAAGAGTGGAATTTCCTGCTTGTTGGACAACCTCATTCGCAGCATGAGAAGATGCTCTGAAGCAATGCCAAGTGGCTATTGAATACATTTTAGGTATGTTGAGCTCATTACATTTGATTCTCGGTTTCAGGGATTCCTTATTTCATGGTCATAACTAGCAGAAAACCCAATCATTTTTTCTGTGCATATTTTAAGCCTTAAAACAGTTCTCCAGCCAATTTTTTTATGAATTTTCCCAAGACCCATTCACTCCTTGAATGGGTCTTGGGAAAATTACATTTGAGTCTGTTACTTTTTTAACACAGGTGTAGCTGGCGTTTCTGAAAGACTTAGGAATCAGTGGCCGCTGCAACATGAAACCCACCGCTGTGTTTTTTGGTATTTTTATCATTCCAAAGGAGAACAAAAAACATTTTGGTATTTCTCAAAAAGGGCAAGCTGAACCAATAATTGTCACGGATGTCGGAAGGGATGAACCGTGGAGAGGCAGGAGAGCGGAAAAAGACCCTATGCGTAGCGGCGGGTCGGGGGTGGGCTCAGCAGTTCAGGAGTCGTATAGAAACCTATGCCTTCAGGCAGCAGACGTGGGGCGACCTGGAGCCAGGCGGGTCTCAGGACATCCGAACGTCAATGCTGAGCAAAGGTGAATCAGAGACCCAGAAATATATAGCCCCAGAGAGAGAGATACCACAAGGACAGCAAAGCACAGGAAACTAGGGACAGGACAGAGTAGGAGCGCCCTCTGGCTGCAGTCACGTTCTAATTAATGTCGCAAGATAACCAATACAAAGTAATTGCCTAAGTACGGTAATATTTTATGTTTGATTCTAACTTGCCTGGCTGAGAGACACTGACCTACCATGGCCATAAGGTCAAGGCTGACAGATCCCAACCCCCTCCCTTCAAGGAATGAACCAGGGAGGTAGCTGCAAGGGTGAAGATGGAGTGGAGAAGAATGAGCTAGAAAAGATGTTGGCACAGGGGTTGCTCAGCAGGCAAAATATTTATATGCATGCTGATGTACTTCCTAACTGAATGTCAAATATTTATACATATGAGAGCAGAAGTGCAAGATTACAATCTGGCCTCCTCCCTAACTACTGTTTAACTACTCCAGATTTTCGATTATCAGCTACAGGATTTGTAATTTGAGATTAGCTCATGGGTCTAAAATTTCATCCATTACAGGCCTATCTCATACAAGGATCATGTTAAGAAGTAACCTGTTTCTCGTGGTTGCTACACATGAGTCTCAGAGTTGTATGGCAAAAGCGTGAGGTCTTACTTTGGTATTGATTGCCAATTGATTGACCTGAATTGAATTATAATTAACTGAATCGTTTGGTATATGATTGACTGTAACAAAACAAGACTGGATCATCCTGCAGTGACAGGGAGTTCCGTGGGCATCAGCAACTGTGTGGAGAAACAAACTGTGAACAAAGTCATCAACACAGCATCCCAGTTTAATACCCTTAAATCTTTGAAGTAGACCAGGGATAGACAGCGTCTCTAATAAAGGACCACAGAGCCCTTTCCTCCTCTGATGTTAGCTACTTCATTGTATAATTATTTCAATTAGAAGACATTGTTTTTTGTAGTGACCCAAGATTCCTTTTCTAAAAGACTGTACAATACAAAACAAAAGAAGCAAATAAGCCTATTCTGATCTTGCATCTCATTCCAATAAACGTGAAAAATATTTGAATGTAAGGGATGGACCCCAAAACCCTTAAGATACTTGTGTAGTTTTAGTTAGAAATGTGTATTCATCACTACATGCTCTCATCATCCCATGCTTATCAGACTGTGCCAGTTTTTGTTTTTATTGACCGTTTCGTTGAGGACATAACCCAAATTATATTGCCTGTGTACGTCTTTGAACTGAGAAACACATTGTTTAAAAAAAATTAAGAACATATGTAATGTTTCAGATAATCCAGTCTGTCTGGCTGCTAGTTCTCCAGATATACTATCACGATAGTGCTTTACAGATCATCATCAACCAGTATCTACAGCATAGCTTGGAAGTTTGTTCCTTGTAACCACAAGAGTTATATTTAAATGTACAGAAATGTATTTGCTTCTCTTGTTCTAAAATAAATTGCTGCAAAGAGAACAGTACAGTCCCAGCACCAACAATTTACCCTATCAAACCTGTTTGCTAGACGTAAAATAAGTACCAAATGATCGTATGTGGACACAAGCTTGGTTATAAGGCTTTCTTAATATTAATATAAATACCATCTGTATTAGCATATTGCATCCTTGATCATAGCTCTATTACCATATTTCCAGTTTTGTCATGGTTTTCCATTACTTTTTCCAGGATTTCTTTAAATCAAAACTTTATTGGACTTTGTCAATTTTTTTTTTTGCAGGATTGCCAGTCCTGGAAATTATATTCACAATGCTTCAACTTTCCCTGGAAATATGTATCCCTGATTTTATTGTTCTATTCCACGTTCAAAGCGCTCAAAGCCAGTGCCGTCGTTAACATTGCATGCTCTATTACGTTACACATTGAGCCTTTGGCAATTGTCTTAAAATGTTTTGATAAACCATGACGTGACTTAACGAGAAAAAAATAACGGCATATTACTAAACTAAAGAGAGCTGCAGCAACTATATATACATTAGACGCTACAATGTACCATTTAATACATGAATATAATAAAACTATAAATGTCATCAAATTTAGGAAACCAACAATCAAATGAAACTGCCTCCTGACATTGGACCAGACATATCCCAGAGCTGTCTTGGTCTTATCTACTTGGAGATTTCCCAAAACCTTTTAACTGCAATATCAGTGATAGAAAACTAGTTTAAATGACATCAAAAGAAACAATACAGAAAAGATATCTGCAAGGTCATGTATTTAATTTAAAACTATACCCCTGTATATAGAATGTAATGGCATGTTGTGCTCACACTTGACTCACTCATTGTAAATCTTTAGAATATTCCATACTCTTTGAACTCAGCATGGTCATGAACTATGTTTTCTTCCACTTAAGCTCTGAATCAGGCCTCTACTGTCTATACTTACAAAGATATTAGAAAATGTTTTTCTCGTGTGTTTATTCTGCAGCGTTCAAGCCTTCAATGCACTCAATGCAGGAGTTATCTGCATTCCTCCTCCAACAAAATATCTTAGGTGAAACCGTTTAGGTACATTTTGAAATACACCAGCATAAATCAGGTCTGTTTTCCTTTTTTACACTCTAAAGGTGGGGCTTGAAGACTATTATTTGTGATCACATGATTCCTCTTCTGAACCCAATTGTTTTGCTAATCAAGATCCCAAAAATCTACGACTCACAAAACAAGGAATGATGCTCTTCAGGTCATATTCCCATTAAACTGCTGATTGTTTTGCCTTATTTTTAACCAGAACATACTGCAGCTGTCAGGTGACGTTGATCACTCACTGGTGACCTTGTCTGGCTAACATTTCATTCTTAAAAATCAAATTTAGCCTCCGGTATCTTAGTCCTTTTTTGCTGTTAGGTGCTAACAAACGTTTTTGATGTAATAAACCAATGTCCTCACATGCAAACGGGTGTAAACAAAATAACACCTTTGAAAACTTGAAGAACCTGTAGAAATCAGCCAAAACGCATTGCTGAATATTATATTTGGATGCAGCGATTGCTTAGAAGAAATTATGGGTGAAAGGGAGTTTTGTAGCTAGAAAACAAGCGCCAACAATTAGCATAGGAGAAAAGTTACATTCAGCCCATCTTGGTTGGTAGTAGATGACTGATCATAGAATATCATCCAGCTATTTCATGCAGGGAGCCAGAGTGCTGGCTTTAACAACATGGCTGGGTGGCTTGTTTCAGACGTCCCCGACCAGTGTGTTAAATATTGCCTCCGGTTCTCCATTTTAAATACATTTTTCCTCACTTTCCACGCGCGTTTTCGGGTTTGCGTTTCATTGGTGATCTTATGTTAGAACTGGACTGACATTAAAAGGGGCAGCCTTCCCATCCAGTTTATAACACTGGAGTAAAAACAGCAGTAGGTGGCCCTCAGAGAACACCCATCAAGTGAGTGACTGCCATGCAAAATGGAAGCCGGTGTTAACCCTCATGCATTGTAATGGTCTGATGTAAGAGCAATCTGATGTACAGAAAGCAGCAGCTGTTAAAAATTAATTGTGTTAATAGCCTGCCACATCACGAATAACATTTGTTCCTCTTTGTTTATGTTGCTTCCAGATGTCACTACAATTCTAAGAAACCTCATAAAATGTTTAGTTTGCTTTAGGATCTTGTTAAGAAACTTAAATTCACTTTTTCCTTCCTAATCAGCCCTATTCAGTTCTAGAGTTTTACAGTCTCATTCCATTGTTTTCCTGGCTTTTTTTTCCTATGTTAATCATAGAGGATGGATGCATTGTCTTTTTCAGATCATTGTACAGTGTGTATATTTTCGAATGTTGAATAGGGAAGACTGGGACAACGTCATTTGCGTCTTCAGAAAGCACAAAGGGGTGAAGAACTTAAGAACTGCCACAAGTTACTACAAAGGTTGCTTTTTATACTGCTGTTCACTATGCTTATCTGCAGCTGAAGAATAAGCCACAATTAAAAGTTTAAGGGGTACTGCCTTTATTGTTTGCAGTTGATACAGTACAATTAATAAATATTGATCCCATTACACATGAAAAAGCCCATTATGACAAGGACAAATCAGCTCCCTGAAGATAACATGGAATTTTTACAATTGGACCAAGTCATTTGAAAGTTATACATCTGGATCTTCAATGAAGGGAATCACTTCTTCTTCTTGGGCAATGCTGCACTGACCAGTTCATATACCACGAAACCTGTTCCTGAAATGAAAAACAATAGGGTGGAAAAATACGAATACAATAAAAAATAAAATTAGCCCAACCACTAGTGCCAAGAAAGAACAACATTCCAGCTGGAATCACTCTATCCTGTCAAGGTTACAACTGGATTTTTATACAATGGAACATGAAGGGTTTTCCATTTATATAGCAAGGCACTAAATATTTTACTGCATTGCTAAATAAATTTTGGGTCAATGGGGGATATGTGATGCATTTAACACTAACCAAACCACTAAAAATATTCCTTTTAAAAATAAATTAGTAGCAAATAACTGAACACATATATTTCTTAAAAGCATAATTTTACCACACTCTTCTATACACTAAGCAAAGGTAACTTTAGAGACATTAAGAACAGCAAAAATCCAAATCCAGGAGTTAACGATGATACTTAATGTTTAAACACACCACACCAAGTCATCAGCCACATAACTAAACATAACCGCTAAAACCACTCTTTTTAAAGCGAGCTTCGGCCAGTTAACACCACACGAGGCAGTCAAGCGATAAAGCAATTAAAGCAAGTCAAAATGGTGTTTTAGCAGAAACTACAATAGCTGCCTTAGTTTTTACAAATTGGACACGGACATTTCTTTATACCCAGACCTGCTTCAAGCTGGCACCTCGTATGGTGCAGCAATATGTTATTTGCCCACAATGGATCATCACCTGTTTGAAAACATAACACGGACTGCTCATCTTCAAAACTTGTTTGGCTGACTCCAGATTTGGCAGACATCCGTGTCGCACCAATGTAGTTACAGCACACGGAAACCTAGATTTATTGTACAAATCAGATTGGCTTTTGACTGCAACTTTGTTTTCTAGTAGACACGCACTTTTTGCCGTTCAATTAATTCCATAACACGGCAAGTATCAAAGTTGAGTGACAATACAATTTCACTCATTTTAAAATGGGATTCCTGCTTCTACAAAGACACCTGCCTCACCACCATTTTGTTTACAATCTTCAAACTGGGGCAGTTGTGTGATCTGCCACTCTGACTGATGTGAAATTTGGCACATTTTAAAAAATTAAAACCTGTTCAGACTTGCACTTCAAGTTGCAGTAAGACCTTTCACACCCACAACGTGTCATCACCTCCTTGGCATGACATAGCCCATACGTCTAGCTGCTCTTTTTCAGAAACTGTTGATGAATCTTTTAAGATTTTTTTTTTTGCCACACTTTCATGGGTAGGCTCTTACTGGGAAGCTCTTGCAACTGCTTGCAGTTTTCTAGTTGGGATATATATTTAAGAAATGATTCAAAAGCACTTGGAAAACTACACATGTGGACTGTAACTTTTAATTATGACTCAAAAGGAAGGATCACAGCAGTGTTCGTTTTTCATTTCTACCACAGGCCAATTACATCATTACAGACACAGGGGGAATTGTTCCAGACGTTTCTCTTAAATTGGATCCATGAGTCCAGAGGCTGCACTATTAGGTTCTTTGTGTGACTAGCAACACTTCTCTCATACAGTATTATGCCAGGATACAAGTGACACGAATGCTGATGATATAACTCAAAAGGAGCATGGTATAGTCTGTGCAGTTTTAATACTTAGGAATGATACACTCAGATACAATAATGCAACTTCTTAAATTTCTAAGTCTTTTCACTGTCACTTACCTAGAACAGTAAGGGCCATTGTACACTTGTACAGAACAGTGTCTCCTGCCCCTCCTTTCAAGTACACTGGAATCCCATTGTCTTCCTGTAACACAGATACAGTACAAGTCAACTCACATGCTACAATCTATACTCTTAATACAATTACACCAAAACCATTAACACACTCGAAAGCACCTTTAGAACCACATTTCTTTGTTATACATGCATATTGTGGGGGCATAACGAAATACAGTATTATAGTACATAATACAAAAAAATAACATTTAGACTAAGTAAGCTTTTTCATTTTACTTTAATAATATAGATTGTCTTCTAGTGTAGGTCCAATTGATTCTTAACATGCTTCATAAAATGTATGTGCAAACTAAGAAAAAATGTAGAATTTGACAATTATGGACATTTATGTACACCATATGCATGCAGTGTTTTTGTCACACCAGCTGATGCTTGCTACAGAGCTATAAGCACTGAATGGATTAGAGAAACACAATGCCAATAGCAGGTCCTTAAATCCTGTATTAAAGTATCACAGAACTAACACTAGCCCTCAAGTATACAACAGGTCAAACCATTTCCCTTTTTCTTGAATATTTAAGTCACAAATTCATGATTTTATGTGGGGGAATAGTTAACAACTAGAACTAGTTCAAGTAGGTAGCTGCGTCAATATTTTCGTTTTTTCATGGATTCATTGAGAAACAGAGTCAAAGTAGCGGAGGCCTAAACTAGTTTTATTGATTTGCTCCTTTTGAAACTGCTTGTGTCGAAAGATTGGGTAGCCAAACAACTCGGTACCAGGCAGAATCACTGCAAAAACCAAGATGGTTGCCCACGCACCTTTCTTAATCAGTATGCAGCCCATAACACTAAGTGTGGTATCGCTGTTTTTTTGTAAAAACCCACATCTTCTTATACCGTGATTTTATTACAAAGTATATAAAAACGCAGCTCTTATTCTCTTCTAGATCATTTTTTAAATCGTGCTATGATCTGTAGTATTTGAAGTAATTGCCTGCTTAACCCATTTAATATGAGACACTGGAAAACAGAAGCTAAGCAATAATATATTTCTTACCTGGAAAAATTATTCAGGAAGCAAAACTAAATATATCAATGAACTCTGTATGTTCTGTAATGTTTTAAGAATTAACAGACCTAAACAGAAGAATTAGCAAAAGCCTCAATTTAATTGCACTAATAGAGCATTAGTCTGCTTTCACACCACATGCGTAAAAGCCAGTCCAGAACTGAACCACAACAATCTGTCAGAAATACTTATCTGTCAGCCTACAGAAGAATAAAAACCTAGGAATGAATTGCAAACTTAACTTTAATGCAAAAACTGACCTCACTCATTGACACAGATATATACCGCCAATACACTGCACCAATTCCAATTAACAGAAACAGTTAAAAAATATGAACATTCTCTGATTCTTTAACAAAAAAAATACCTTTAAATGCTAGAGGCAGTGGTCAAAATATAGATAACATGGTAAATGAAGGAAGGATTGAGAGCTTCCACTTAGGTGTGGCTCACATGTTACGCAAACAGCATTCCAGCATGATTAGGCTCACATATAAAAATGCTGGACAGGCTCGGTTACATTTAAGTATCATGGCTTAAACAGGAGACTTAGTGACTTTGAGTCCCGTGATGTAGAGAGAACAGGCAATGGACTACTGAGCAGTGAAGAAATGTGATCAGATCAGAAGAATCATCCCACACCATATACCAAGAGCATGAGTGGCAGAACACATGTGAATTCACAATGGCTGGAGCTGCATGATATCATCCTGCTTCCTTCCCGCAGAATTCTAGACACTGGCAGACTCCATGCCAAGGCAAATACAAGCTGTACTGGCAAAACTAGATGGTCAATCACCGTATTCAGTCACTTTACATTGGCATTTCCCTTTTTTGTATACCTGTATATACAGCTTTACTGGTTATGTAACCAATACAAAAATGACTTAAAAATAGGATAGCCTTTACGCATTAGACTCTACATTTTAAATCATCCTCCCATATAGGATGGAGGATATTCTATTAAAGAGGCACTACAATGGTGTACCAGTGTATTGCTTATGAGTTATGATTTTAATGTACTGTTGTACAAGACAGCATCACTAATATCTACGCTTTGTGACTTCAGCTATTAGTGCAACATGAAAGGTTTAGGCAGGTCACTTTCCAAACTAAAATCCTGTTCAATAGATAGAGCTAGGTGTACTTGGGTAAGCATCCAACAGTCAAGTGTCAGGCTGTCCTTCATAATCACCCAAACCGCTTGTGGAGAGACTAAGGTTGCCACAATTGACAGGCACAAGTTGCTTACATCCATGAGCACTTAAAAACACAATCATAAAACTACACCTTACAATCAGAAAGTTATTTTCATTTTTAAAGGACATCCGTCAGCTTTGAGATTTAAGACGCAATGCAGAAATGACAATATTCAAAGAAGGAATCTGAAGGAAAGGCGAGTCCGGGCAGGCACCAGCATCAGGTTGAGATGGAGACAAAAGCTGTGAAGAAGCCAAAGGCACACGATTGCAAGGGAATGTTACCTGAAGTTGAGTAAATACCTAGAAAATCAAATTATGATGAACAGGGAGCCAAAGGCTGTTCCAGCAGTTTCTGAAAGGCAGAAACTTACACAGCTCTCAGTTTAAGCATGAAAACGAAACCGAAATCAACTGGAGAGATAAAGAAGTTCATTGTTATCAGCAATTAAAACAAATGGCAACCTTTCCAATATGCATGCCTAGAATAAAAAAAAAAATTGTGCAACACAATTTAAGAAAATTAAAACCGTACATCTTTTTTTGTTCATAACATAGTAGATCAGATGTTTTGGTCGCTAAGCTGACCTTCTGACTTATGTTTTACTTCTTTGTAGTTTTTTCCCCCAACTGTACCACGACTCTAGTACCACTGATCACCATTATGAATGTAGCACATAAATGCTGGTTTTTACCATTGCGTAGAGCATCATCATAGAGCCGTTACAGTTATTCCATTGTGACGTATGACTGCACAAGGCTGTACAAGTAAAATATTAGTAATACACCTCAAAGTTGCAGTGAACAGAATTATATGGTTAAAGTATTTAAAAAATATTTAAAGATTTTCTTCATAGCTCATCACGTCTGTCATGTACTAAAAATAACCTGAGCCAGTAGACGTTTTCAATTATGAAGAGCTCCTTTGCTCATGGGTGTGAAATTCTGGTTAAACTATTTGTTTTTTTATGGGAAAGTGGTTTTCCCATTGAGTCCAGGTCAAAATCCCCATGGCCTCTGCAATCATGCAAACGGAACAACGTTTAGCTGCAGATCGTTGCAAACTAGAATGGTTTTAGTGCATTCCAGTAACTGCCTTTAACGATGCTTCCAGCTGACATGATGGTAGACGTTTTCCAACTTCTTGGATGAGAACACCGTCTTCTGGTGCAGACATAAAGCCAATCCAACACTCAAAAAAACAAATTCGAACACCTTCCTTCATAGACTGTCTTACTATTCGTTTAAATGTGTCAATGAGTTGTGTTTGTACACTTGAGCTTTTCTGTTGACGTAGGAGTCATCTGTTGTCGGGTTGGGTTTTTTTTTCCTGTTATGCAGGGGGATTTCCTGCTCCTCACCTGGAAGATCTTCTGCTTCTCCGGGACCTTATTTTGGACCTGCCTGCGGGCCGTGGTGCTGAGCGTCCGCTGCGAGAGCTGACGGAGACCCTGGGTCACAAACACATCAACCGTCAGTAAAGTCAGAATCCACTCACAACCAGCTCGACTGAATTTCGTCTAGAACTGCCGGTTTTTAAAATCAAATACCTAATCAAATCCTGTTGATTTTACGAAATCATGTTAACGGCAACGCAGACATTTCCACAAATAAAAGGTAAAAACGCTTCTCTGAAGCAAAGTTTTCCACAAATACTAGTCCACAGCCTGGCAACCATCACCCGTCTACCCAACTAGGAAAGCCAGAATTTATTTTATCACAAGAGCTGCGCCTCCTCTTTAATTTGGCTACACAACTTTTCTCTGCAATCCACAAAATGACATCTACCTCGGCTCTGTTTCCAAAGTCAGGTCCTTTTCTCTCTCTTTTGTTATAAGTTATTTTAAAATTTGCTACAATTCTGTGCTGAAAACAAACATGCATAAAGCTAAAAACCGGCCTAATCCATTTAGCGCACTGTGACCGCTAACCTCACACTAAGATAAAACCTATAAAAATGAACAAGTGACAACTGCACATTTTAACAAACACACAATTTCTATCTACTTTCTTCATTAGCCAGTAGAACATAAGAAACAACCCGTATTTACCAGGAAGGCTCTGAACATCTTGACTGATTTCACAGTTTCTTCCTTACTGTGTAAAAGTACAAGGGCATCAAGGAACAAACTATTTCCTGCAGTATCCCATAAACCACTGCGCACAGTGATCTCTTCCAGGTCACAGTGACCTCGCCGGAAGTGGCAGCTAGGAAGCATCTGTAAATAAGGAGCTGAATATTATTTTAACATGTTGAATGAACAAAGAGAAAAATATCTAAAAAGGAGAACCAATGATTGGGCTCTTATTAATCATAAAAAAATCTTAAATGGTTATCCAATTGTCAAACTAAACAGTCTATTATTACTGTGGAGGCAGTAATAGTATTTATGTTCTCTTAACATAAAATTAGTTCTATTTTTCCAGAATGTTTTCGATTATACTGAACAAGTCTGTTTCCAAAAAGAGAATGTAGAACTAAGTTATGATTAATATAAAGTCTTTTCAAATAGCTGTTAAAATTTTAACAGCAATTGTATAATTTTATTAAGGAAATACCTTTTGGATGAAGTCCAGTATTTGATCTCATTTATTCCTCCTAATAACCCATACCAGCATTCCACAATAGTATTTAAGGAATGGATGCCAAGTCTCTTTGAAAAAAATCTTGATGATTTCTGTATTTCTTAATGCTAATTGAAAAGAATTACAAATCACATCGCCCAACAACTGTTTCAGCAGTTTTCTACCTCCAAAGCTTTCTACTCTTTCTAGGAAAGTTAATGTTCCACGTTAAACATACACATCCACCCCTTGAAGGGTGAATATGAGGGCTTTTACACTTCATCAAAAATTAAATTATATATGAAATTGGAATTTGCATTTTAATATAATCTTTTAGTTTGTCTCCCTCTTAATTCCCTGAACCAGCTATTATTGCATGTTTAAAACAATAAAATTATTAACTGAATATATTCTGCTTACAAAAATTTAAATGGTGAATATCATCAGATTTGTTTATCACAAACATGTTACTTCCATTTTAACTTTACTCACTCTATATAAAACATGTTATTCTCATATTATGTATCTCTGTGTGCCATAGATAACTAATTTCATATTATGTTAATGCCATAACCTTTCCTAAAAGACAAGGCTAGAACAGCAGTTTTCCACATTTATTTTCCATTCACTGGTGACCGATAAAAAATTCTTCAGGACAAAATCTTCTTTACAAAATCCAAAACCAACAATTATACAGGCCAAAGAAAACACATTTATTTTTAAAAGAAGATATTGTACATAATAAAATGTCAACCGCAACCGTAAAGTGCAAGTTATTTGGTGAATGTTGTGAATTTGCAGGGTAGTGCCATATTGGGAGAAGAGGTGTAAATTGTCTAATTTAATTTTCAAAGTAATTTCAAATGTATTCATCTTGACTTAACAGGTGACATACTTCCAATAACATTTATTTTAAAATTCCTAATTTTCAATTAACACATTAAGCAGTACATTTCAAGGTGCTCTCTTCATACATGATAAAGTCACAACATTTTCCCAGGCATACTATAACTTAGAAAAAGGACACTCTGTTCTTTACAGAAAACAGAACATGTATCTTAAAACTGACTAGACAGTATTTAAAAAAATTACAAATTCTGGTTGTTGCCATCACTATGGACTTGTAACACATCAACTCAAAATGAAATGGAACAAGACGTCATTACATTTTGGTGCGATTCACAGCAAAGCCCATAATAACTGGCCTCTGAGGTAAAAAATAACAAAATAAATAAATCAGAGTAGTACATTCACCCAGCAAAGAACATGCCAAATCAGCGGGAATGTTTTTAAATTCATGTTTAGAAACATTAACAGCCATATTCTTTAATGGAGAGGTTCCCAATCCTGGTCTTTGAGGTCCACAAACCTGCCCATTTTTATTCCAGCTAAATTGAATTACTTAAATTAAATTAAAACTGAATTACTTAGCTTAAATTAAGTTGCTTCTTTAAATTATTTTCAACTTTGGTTTTCTACTCAAAGTCTGGAATTTCAAGTTACTTACGAAACAAGAGTTAAAAGACAGCCTCCAGCATACGCAACACCTGAAAACAATCAAAAGACTTCAAATGAGTCCTGTTATTCAGTCCATTCATTTAGGGTTCAATTGTATAAGTGAGAGTTGGGCTGGAACAATTAACAGCAGGTGTATGGGCCCCAGGACTGGATATTGGAAGCATTGCTTTAATTCAGTATAAAGTCAGCTTAAATTCTGCATCTTTCGCAAATGTATTTTCTGAATAGTTTTATCAATAGAGACGGACCATCGCTTTCAGAAGATTCCCATGCTGTTTCAATGAAACCAAGGAAAGACAGAACAGACTTTTTTTGTAAGAAAGTTAAAGAATAAACAGCTTTTAAATATTTTAAATTCATCAAAGGACTATCTTTTCTGGTATTTTCCCATCATTTGCTGAAAACATAGTGGTCCACCTCTATACATAAAATACACAAGTGTATCAAAAAGACAGACGCCGTTAAGGAAAACCAGTGCTTTTAAACTTTATTAGCTAGTGGTCCAAACTGGACCGCGCATGCACAGTACGTTCCTCAGCAGGCTTAGTTGGGAATGTCGGCACTGTTATTGCGATTTCCATATTTGTGGTGTATTATCAGCAGAACAACACCCAGGAAAAAGCAGACAGAGCCCACAGTGATGTAGGCAATGCCCAAAAATGGGTTCTTTCCTCCCATCCAGGAGATGGTACTCAGGATCATTCGCTTGTGGCCTTCAAAACTGCGCACAGGGTAGTCTGAAGGCATGGTGTAAAGGAATAAAGGAGACACACAGTACAACTAGAGCATGGGATTTAAAGAACCATCCGAGACACAATCCTAAAAAACTTCAAAATAATATATATACACTCACCCTTGAGACTAATCAACCATGGTACCTTGTGACTTTAAATCTTTACATAAAAAGTATTAAGCAGATTTAGTTTCTTAAATTATCCTATCCTACCTAAAGTACATTTAAAATCAAAATTTAGACAATTGATTAATGGTAGCTCTGATTCTAATGGCAACAGAGAAACAGTTTAAACATTTTCTAGCAAAAAAAATGTATAGGAAAGTACTGGAGAAGAAAAAAAAGGATATGATGATACTCTAATTTGTTTATAGCCTGTTTATTCCTAAAAATCTGAATGCCTTAAATCTGTGCGCTTAATTAATGTATACAGATTTAACTTGAATGTTTGCAGACTCAGTTCTGGGATTACCTTTCCTTAATATAATAGAAAGTTTCAGACTATTGTTTTCAAAGGAAAGGCTGTATGAATCTTATTTAAGGAAGAAAAAAAATCCCAGGTGAAGTGAATATCATGCTCATCAAATATCCCAAATTAAAACATTTACATGTTTTAAATAAGTTTCCTTTGGATCATGGAAGGTGTCTTATTGTCACCTAACACTTCCTATAACTCAAATACCACTAATTACTTCCAATTCTCTATGCAAGCAAGCAATGTTGCACGTCTTGTTCTGCAGTGGAAACAATGCTCTAAATCACAAACTTTACCACAAGGACAGCCTGCAACAGCTAGGTTTCCACCACCAAAGACGCTTTCTGCATTCCTGACCAACTCTGTAGTATTTTAAAAGAAATCTCAAGAGTCTCATTTCTTCAGCGGGAATTAATCTGCAGGCACTGTGCATGGTGAGAGGCTATTAAACATGAACTGCATCAGTAAAACTCGTTTTTTTTTTTTTCAAACAGATGAGCTACTTACCTTGCATCACATGGGAGTATTTCTAGTACCAAAAAAAAACGACAATGCAGTTGGATTATTTTTCAGGAAAACACAACTAAGAAAACTCAACCTTTTTTCTTTAAAAAAAAAAACGACCTGTGGATGAAAGGATACTGTAGGTGACCCTTAAGGTGTAGTTGCCTCTAGGCAGAGTGGGAATCAGGTTGTTCTTCTTCTCGATTATGCGGTACAGTTTGCGGAATGTCGGCAGGGCTGCAGTGCGCATCCACACTATGAAGTCTTCATTGATGAAACCGTTGTTGTCCGGGTCACTGTCGAGCTCGTAGACCGGCTTGCGCCAGTTCACAGGCTTCGCAGTACCTGAGCCGGGGAAAAAAAAAAAAAGAGGAAAAGGTGGCAGATGAGATGTTCACAATTTCCTTGGAGCGGCTTCTGAAGCCTATTTGAGGGTTAAAGATCGCGTACTGTACCTTGGAAAACCGCAGTCAGGTTAGAGTTTGATCCACCCGGGTTTCTAAATTTCACATTCTTGTCTGTCCACCAGGCAATCCCCTTCTTGGACAGGTCAATAGGGGTTAAGCTGCCATTGGGGTTGTTGTAAAATAATTCCAAGGTGTCTTGGAGAGGTGAGAAAAGGAGAAAAAAAAATTCAACTTTATATTTTTGACCGTGAGGATATGTACAATCCATCAAATGCTGCTGTAAGATACAGGCTATTATATATAATATAGAATATAGCCCTCCTGTCATGGGACAGTGTTTTTCTATGCTCTGTATAAAAAGATATTACCATTAAACAGGCTGTTGGCAATAGCACCACAGGGGGCAATGGGCTTGTCTTCATTCACGCGGTACGGTTCACATTCCTTGCTGGGGTTCTGTAAAAGTAACGCATATAAACTAAAAAGAAGAAAAGTCTACATCTACTCTTAAGAGATTTCTATTGCAATGAATCATTTTTTACATTTAAATTATCAGGAAAAAACATACCTAATACCTAATTGCAGTGTAATGGTGTCCAGTAAAGTAAGCGTTTATTTGTATTTCTTTTTATTCTATGTTCATTTTGTTTTACCTTCTGTTACAGAAAGCTGAAGCACACTGACTGAATGGTTATACTTTGAATGTATAAAACCTTGCTTTTAAAGATTTGAAACAAAAAGAACTTCAAAACTTTCCATCAAAAGCCACAGAGCTTATTTGCATTATCATTGTCACATAGTTGGGACGCTGTGGTAGTGAATCCTCTGGAACATCGAAATTGGACTAACTGTATCCTCC